GAGCCCGATGCGGGACTCGATCCCGGGACTCCAGGATCATGACCTGAGCCGAAGGCAGTTGCTTAACCAACTGAGCCACCCAGGCGCCCTAAAATTAGTAAATTTTATTTTGTTTGAGAATTTCAATAACTTATATAAATAGCATTATGCCCTGAAACAAAACAGATGTAATTTGAAAGATTATATATTCAGCTTTCCTCTAAATTTGTTAGAATGACCATTTGATGGATAAAATGAGTAATGGCCTATTCCAACTGAATTCTGTTATAAAATTTTTAGATGTGGATGATTTTTTACAAATAATTTACGTAAAGACTTTTGAAAGATGCTTATACAGATTGTTTTTTTTTTGTTTTTTGTTTTTTTAATAAAAAAAAGGAGACTAGAGACTGCTAGGTTTAAGTTTTTATTTTCAGTTTTATGTTGAAGCTGAGTATTGTCACCAAAGGTAGTATATGCTTATATACTATGGCTCTTGTAGTATTTTAAGTAATGTTAATCCCTTTTCAGATCCCTGAGTGCAGTTTACTTTTTTAAGGTTAATTTCTTTTGTGTTATGTACTTAGTAATTTACTCTTTCTTCCCACGTATGTAACAAAATTATAGTGTGCATTTGAAAAAATAGGAGTGTTAATAACTTGTGTTTTTATTTGAAAACAGGCATCTGTTATATTCCTTAATGCCATCAACACCTTTAAGTTTTCTCTAAAATGCAACAATAATCAAGTTAATTTCTTCACTAGCTTCTTTATTATATATGTTTGGGTAAATAACATAGTGAATTATAGTATACTTTTTCTTTGTTCCTCTGTTGCCCAGCATCTTTATGAATAGATTTTTTTATCTCTTTGGTATGTTCCTAAAAAGTAAATTAATTTGAGTGCTAATTTAAGGAAAATCGCACAGAAAAAAATACTTATTTAAAAATATCAATCCAAGGAGAGGTGTAAACTGTTTTTGGCTTACCTGTTTTATTTGTTACTGTTTCACTGATGTACTAAAGTAGCAGTGTTTCTTGAGGTTTGTTACTTTTAAGATAGAGTAATAGGTAACTTAATAAAATTAGTTATCACCTTTTTCATGGGTAGTGTGGTATTTTGTATCATTCTTTAAGCCATTTCTGTGTGACTATAATTATTTTAAATGGTCAAGTTCTTAAGTGCAAGTATCTGCAAACAGAAACCATTTAGACTCATATCAAAGGTATTTGGTTCAGAACTTGGGCTGAACAACTAAAGAGTAGAATGTAGAGAATTCAGAAAGGGTTCAGAAGGAACCAAGAAATGTCTCAAATGCTCTTTTAAAAGCAAGCAAAAACATTCCGAATCCCTAATGTATTCTGTCTGGGTGAGAAATATATGATATACCTGGTGTCAGACTCATTTTAGATTTAACTGGAAAAACATTTTTTTCATTATATTTTAGGTACTTAGATAGTATTTTAAAGCTTTGGCACATAAAATACTTCAAATAATATTGTTCAAAGACTTCGTCAACTAGATTTGATATACCTTGGGTCTTGTGAAAGGGAGGACTAAGATGTAATTGAAATTAAGTAAACAAAATCTCTGTAAATAAATTCAGTCTCTGTCATAATCATGTTATTAGTCATTAAAATGAATTTATACTTTTTGATTAAAAAGGCATTTATATATGCTTTTATCTAATGTGTTTTTTATAAGGTCAAAAGAAATAGACTGGCAGCCTTATTTTACTACACGTATTGTAGATGATTTTGGCACACACCTACGAGTATTCAGAAAAGCTCAACAGAAGATAACAGAGAAAGATGATCAAGCAAAAGGTAATATCTTTATTCCCTTTGAAAATTAGGACTTTAAAATCTGTCTTTCTTTATCATTCTGTACATCTTGTTCTTTGTGCAGGTACAGCAGAAGATCTTGTGGATACCTTCTTTGAAGTTGAAGTTGAAATGGAGAAGGACGTTTGCCGTGATCTAGTGTGCACTTCTCCCAAAGATGAAGAAGGTTTTCTTCTCAGTTTAACTCTTTGGAGAACAGTAACTGTTCAGATTGGTTAGAGACAAGTTAGCAGAGATGGGGAACAAAATAAGGGTAATGGGTGAAATTATTCTTACAGGATAGGTAGCATAGTATAGACAGTGTCACTGTTCATCTTATTTTTTAACTCTTAAAAGTAGTTTCCAGATTCTTTTCTCTTTTTTAAAGGTCATCTTTAACATTTAAGGTGGTGATTAAAGATTACTTCTTTTAAAATATAGCAGGCACAATTTATAATTGTAAATTTACTTTTTATGGTCTTTAGTAATTTATCTTCTCCATACCTGTTACCCTAAAATATTTTCTAAGAGAATGAGTGTAATGATTTCAAATATAGTTTATCGAGTCGAATGGACTTGTCTTTTCTTTGGGAGAGGTTAGACTGGATAAGCTTTAGCTGAGGAGATTGTCTTTTCCTAGTTTTGCAGCCTCTCAGAAAGAGTCTTTGCTACTTAGCACATTTTTGATTAACAGGATCAGCTATACAATTCTATTCCCAGGAAGTGTCAGCATATGAACTACAGAGTAGTAGTTCTAGTTGTGGAAATTGTTTTCTTCAGTTTTTAAATTGTGCTCTTCTTTCCCCCCTTTTTTCTTCTTTCCTTTTTATATTTACGCTGCAATTCAATTTTTAATTGCCGTTTCATTAGCACTGGCATGAAATAATAGCTAAGTATAAGAAATAGTTATAGTGATGTGCAGTACTTTTCATGTAAATCGAGGAAGTAGTAAAATAGAAGAGCATGCTCTTTTTCTTTTGTTATTACCTACCAAGATAGTGGAGGTTCTTTCTTGAAAGAAGAATTACAGGTATATTTTAAAATATGCAAATAACTTTTAGGTATGCTACGGTAATGTGTACTAGAAGTGTAGAATACGTGGTACAACCACAACTGTTTAGGGGGAAAACACTTTGATAGTAGAAGTTTCTCAGTGATTCAAAAACAAGGTAAAACTGAGCAGAATAAAAAAAATATTAGTTTGATTAATGAATCGTTACTGTTTGGAGAATAATGAAAAATTTAACCAATACTGATTTGTACTAATTATTAAAATAATAAGCTGCTATAATTGGGAAACTACTTATTTCAGCCTTTATAATCAGTGGAGATTTGATATTTTCTAATGTTATTATAGCTACCTTTTTCATTTCTAGGATTCCTAAGGGATTTGTGTGAGGTCTTATTATATTTATTGCTACCTCCTGGAGATTTCCAGAACAAGATCATGCGATACTTTGTCAGGGTAAGCTTAAACTCATATCAGATAAATGGCTATAAAGAAATTTAGCATGGTAATTCTCAAAATATTTGGTTTCAGGACCCTGTTAAATTCTCAAAAATTATTGAGGACCTCAAAGAGCTTTTGTTTACATGGGCTGTATTTATCAACACTTACTGTATTATAAGTTAAAACTAAGAAATTTTGAAACACAAGAATACACAAGCACACATTCCATTAGTTGATTTCTATCATCACACCATCATGGTCCTTTCTGAAAATATCACTGTGCGCTTGTCTCCTTCCATCACCCAGAGATCCCTTTACAAACTTTGAGAACTGCCTGACTTAGAGTTAGATACGGGGATTTTTGGGTTATAACAAAAATATGTTTTAAATTTTAATATAGCTTTACAGATAAACTTATTAGAATTAGGCTAATTGTGGTGCCTGGGTGGCTCAGTCATTAAAGTGTCTGCCTTCGGCTCAGGTCATGATCCCAGGGTCCTGGGATCGAGCCCCACGTCAGGCTCCCTGCTCAGTGGGAAGCCTGCTTCTCCCTCTCACACTCCCCTTGCTTGTGTTCCCTCTTTCGCTGTCTCTCTCTCTGTCAAATAAATAAATAAAAACCTTAAAAAAAAAAAAAAGAATTAGGCTAATTAAAATAACACTTCTGGATAGAAACTTTAAAAAAACTAGGCAGTTAAGATTCTGCTTCTTATAATTAGAAAATGAGTAAGTGGGATGAGAACAATAGTCTTGGACTTTTTATTCCCCCTATATAAACATAGGAATAAAATTCTATATACAGATGTAAAGGAATAACATTTTTGTTTTGATTGCTGGTTATGATTGAGAAATGCTAGCTAGCTAGCTACAACCCTTATGCTGGTTGAATGGGTAAGATCAGAGTTTCTAATTTATATGAAAGTGAAAGCTTAGGATCTTTTTTCTACCATCCAGCAAAATAGATACCAATTCCTGAGGTGTGCTTTTTTGTTTTTATTTAAGCAATATCACACAATTTCTTAGTATCTACCTAACTCGAGTTCAGTGTACTTCTCAAGTAGGGCAGTGGTACTGTGAATTGAGTAGTAAATGCTTGGTTTTAATGGGAAATGTCTGATAGATGATATATTGTTAAGAACAATTATTTGGGCTAGTCGTTATCAAGGGCAGTAAACACCTGACATGTCTATCACTAGATTCACATCTAGCACTGAAGGAAGACACTGCTAATCAGTTACAGTACTCATTCCTGTTGAGTATTTGTTTGGCAGCAGAATCTTTGTCTACCTGGTACACTAGACAGCCACTGCTGGGCAGTGTCTCAGCAACTTTCACATGGCTGGCAAACTTTTCCCTCTTGAAATTTTTGTCTTTACTTAGGTTCCATGTCATTGCTGTCCTGATTTTTCTCCTCCTTTGGTCTCCTTTTTAGTCATTTTTACATGTTTTAACTCCTCTTGTATTTAACTTTTAAATATACAAGTTCTTTAGGCCTGGGCCCTCTTCTTGCTCACCTATTCCTGTGTCTTTAAATAACACCCAAGTGCTAGTGACTTTCAAATTTATATCTTTAGTACAGACTTTCCTTCTGAGCTCCAGGTGCCTCTGACCAGCTAGCTGCCCACTGAAATCGCCATTCGATTGACTCACAGCCCTTTTAAACTTTAAATGTTCAAAATGGAAATCTTACTCTTGTTTCCATGTCCTGTCTTGCCTTTTAGTCTCCTTTCCATCCTAGTAAATGCTGTGACCATCCAGCAAATATTTCCCATCTCGAGTTCTTCCAGAAGTTTACAAGGCCATATGATGTGGCTTTGTTTACCTCTCTGGCCTTTGTGCCATGCTGTCACAGTATTCCAGCGATGCTATCTTTTCCAACGTAGGGCCATCTCATGCTCCTTTTTTTCTGGTCAAAATGATTCCCCTTATTCTCTTGGCTAAATTGTATTCACCCCTCATATCCCACTTCCTCAGAAATGCCTCCCCTGACCACCCAATCAAGTCCCCTCATAATTCCCTATTGCTGTAGCCAAGTACACAGTTCTTTTCCTTCAAAGCATTTACCATATTTCAGTATTATAATTTGGTTGTTGTGTTTACTTACTTGATGCCTTTTTTCCCTACGGTAGTACTCTAAGGCCCATTAGGACACAGGCCATATCTGTATCATCATTATCTACTTCATGGTTATCATGGTGCCTGGCACATAGCACATATCCAATCAGAGAATTAGTTTTAATGAGAGGAAACCTATTTGCCCTTCTTGCTGAAGGTGCATATGCTACTGCAGCTCCTGGAGATGTAGCTGACTCTTAGGAGACGTGACTGATGACCTGCCTTGTTACATGAGGTTATTGTTGAAAGCAAGTAGTGTTGGTTATTTATTTATTTTTATTTTAAAAGATTTTATTTATTTATTTGACAGACGCAGCAAGAGAGGGAGCACAAGAAGGGGGAGTGGGAGAGGGAGAAGCAGGCTTCCTGCTGAGCAGGGAGCCTGTTGTGGGGCTCGATCCCAGGACCCTGGGATCCTGACCTGAGCCGAAGGCAGACGCTTAACGACTGAGCCACCCAGGCACCCCCACAAGTAGGGTTTAAATAAAGAGCAAATATGTTTTGATGTAGATTGTAGACCAATCTTGTACACCAATATTTCGTATCTTTATGGTTGAATCTAATTGTGTATACTTATAGAGTCCTGCATTCAGCAAATCAGGTTTTTCTCTCTTAACTTGATAATTCTTTATCCATTTTCTTTTGTTGGTAATTCAAGTTTTCCCAAAAGATGTTTTTGTTCGGATTAAATAACATATCAAAGAGTTTTTACTTCTTTCCTTTATATGGATCTTTTATATGGATTGTACAAATCATAGTATTTGACTGTAGTAATTGCTATTTAATCGTCTCTGCTTTCTGTCCATTACTAAGTTTTATTTAAAGATTCATGGCCTCGATGACTTTGTAGCTTTTAAACCTTCATATTTGACAGCTGGTGCTTGTCTTAAAGTAGAAATTATATGGAAATGGCTACTTATTTTGGAATATTTAGAGCTCTCACTAGAACCTGTATAGGAATTGTTGAGTTATATGATTACATCTTAACTAACCAAACCCTTTCATGAGGCAAATTAGAAGATAAAAGTAATTTTCTAAGACAGACTGACTAATTGCATTGACTAATAAGCACTAAATTTATTCACTTTTTTTTCTTACTTTGCAAAGAAAAGTTCAAGAAACATAGTTTTGTTTATGAATTTTCTCCTTACAAAGCACATTTTAAAATTTGAGCATATGTGGCCAGAGATAATTTGAAGGAAAGAATTATGTAAATAATATAATTTTTTAAGATGTTGGAGACTAAAAATCATCTTGAAAGAATAATTCCTCCTAATTTTAGAATGGAAGATGTCTCAAAAGATACTTCTAAAAGTTATCAGAACCATCCTACGTTGGACGTAGGGATTACTTAAAAATCAATTAATTAGTAAAAATAAAAAATAGTAAGAGGTGCCTGGCTGACTCAGTTGTTCGAACATGCTTCTCTTGATCTTGGGGTCGTGAGGTTGAGCCCCACATTGGGTGTAGAGATTACTTAAAAGATGTGAAGACAAGAAAATAATTATAATACAAAAAAAAAGTTACTGGAACCTTCAGGAGTGCCTTTTGGAAATGTTAATTCATCACTGGGTAATAGTTTTCAGAGACTTAAACAGCTTACAAAAGTAGAGTTTATATGAAATATCTCTCTAAAGGAAAATAAAGTGAAGCCTACCTTTTATGAGCTAAGTATACCAGAAAATGGACCAGATAAATTAAAGATCTTGATAAAAGGAATAAATAAACTGGTCTTTTAATTAGAAAAGTAAAACATCCTGTTAAACTTATAGTTATTTAGCCTTCCAGTTTTCTTAAGAAATGGTGTTTCATAGATTTAGGTATCAGCATGCATAAAAGAATGAAGAATAGTAATGGGTGAAAACATGGTATTAATAGAATCAGCACTAAATTCTTTATTTCCATTCCTTTAATATTTATGAAATACCTGCCATATTTAAGAATATGACCTTGAGTAAATATTTTTGAAGATCGATAAATCAATAGATCACTTGACAAATGTCACTCGTATGCAGAACGTTCCTAGATAGTGGTAGTGTTCTAGAGAAGTGGAAGAGACACAATTACATAGAGAAGGATAAGTGACAAATGCCATAAATTCAGGGCATGAGTATATTTTAAACATGTAAGTAAAAGAGTATTCAGCTGAAATGATCAAAGTTTATTTGATTGGAGATTTCATTCTGTAGTCAGTCCTTGGAGGAAGAGCAGGATTTTAGTAGGTAGGAGCATAAACAGCTATAAAGAATGGGAGGATCTATTCTAGAGAAAGATGAATAATTATATTAACATATTCTTATTTTATTTTCTATTAGGAAAAATTTCAAACACAGACAAGTGTAGAGAATAATACAGTAGACATTTATGTACCAACTACCCAAATTTAACCAATGTTAATGTTTTACTGTAGTTGCTCTGTTCTTCCCTTGAAGGTAACTACTATTGTAAAATTGGTATCTTTTCCTTTTGTTCTTTGTTTTTATTTTTATTTTTTTAAGATTTATTTATTTGAGAGAGAGAGAATGAGAGAGAGAGTACATGAGAAGGGGCAGGGTCAGAGGGAGAAGCAGGCTCCTTTGCTGAGCAGGGAGCCTGATGTGGGACTCGATCCCGGGACTCCGGGATCATGACCTGAGCCGAAGGCAGTTGCTTAACCAACTGAGCCACCCAGGTGCCCTGTTCTTTGTTTTTATACTTTTAATATAGATGTAGGAATTCATACATATATATGGTGCCATGTTTTGCCCTTTAAAAATTGACATAAATGCTAACATACTAGAGATACCCTTTTGCTGTTTTCCACTCAACTCTAGATGCCATTGTGGAGATATATCCAGGTTGGTATAGGTAGCTTCGTCTCATTTATTTTAACTGAGATGTATTAGTTAATCTTTTTATAATATTGTGTTGGTTATCAAGTTTTATGTGTATCATACCTTTCTTAATAACAGCATTGTGTTATTTACATTGTGCTAGTGATTTGAGAAGTATATTAGGTTAAATTTGGTTTTTACAATTTTTGTCCAGGAAATCCTTGCACGAGGAATTCTTCTTCCATTAATAAATCAACTCAGTGATCCTGATTATATTAATCAATATATCATATGGATGGTACGTACTTTCTAAAATTACAACTCTGTTTTTAAAACAGTTTTTTTAAAATTTAGAAACAGTAATTGGAGATCAGGATGATAAAGCAATAATTTATTAAAGAAATTAGGTAAAAATATGTTTAAAGGTAATCTTTATATTTCTAGTACTTCTGTTTGCTAATATGTTGAATGCACTAGCCCCAAATTCTTTTTAAGAAATTTGTTGATAATTCTGTTATAATTTTGGTGTTGTTACTACTTACTTAAATTAAAAAAAAATATTTTTCTGCCTGAGTGTTTAGATGATGAGTATTTTAAAAAGTTGCTGTTTGGTTTTAAACACAGCTTGTGGTCTGAACTACTTAAATAGCATGTACTTTACATTTTTATACCTTATAGTGGAGGAAAGTATGGTGAAAGGAATACTGGAGTGACAATGGGAGGTTGTGTGTTCTAGATTTGTTTCTGTAAGTTGCTTAGTGTGTGTGTGTAAGTAGCTACTTTTCTATAAGTCTTAGTTTTCTCATCCGTCAAACATATCAAAGGGTTAGTGATTACTAAGTTTACTCGGTCTAATTACTTTTGTGTGTGATTATATATGCTTTCCTCAGTAAACTCATAGTCAAGAAAGAGTTGTAAATGGGCTATTGCTGGGAATTCTTTGATAATATAGCTCTAGATCTTTGATTCATTTTCTTGAAATAGAATTTTTTCTCCACAGTTGTCTTCTGTTAACTCAGTCTAGCTTTCTTAGGAAAGAATTACTTTATTGTTCTTTGTTTCTAGTAGCCATTATCAGCCTGACATTGTTTTATTGTTGTTGGAGCAATTTTTGTCTCTCCCACCAGATTGTGGGTTACCTACAGGCAGAAATGGTTTTGTTAGCTTTGTGTTCCTAGAGCCTTTTATGGAGGTCACACAACTTGATTCTTCTTTTCCTTTGTCAATTTTTTTAGCGTCCTGTTGGGCTCTACCAAAGCTTTAAAAACATGCATTATCTGCCTAATTAAAATTTTTAAGAATGCATATCCTTTGGTTAGGAGTTCTACTCATGAAATTTATTCTAAAGTGATAATAAGTTTGAAACAATGTATATTTAAGGACATTAGTGCCAACATTGCTTTTAAAACTAAAAAATTGAAAGCAATTTAAGTGTTCTACATGGAGGATTTGTTTAATAAGTTATGGCATATTGATACAATAGAGTACATGAAGCCATTAAAAAGAATGATGGTAGTGTATCTTGAATATGAAAAGATGTTTACATATATATTTTTAAAGATTTTATTTATTAAGAGAGAGATCCTGAGCGGTGGGGGGGTGGTGGGAGAGGGGGCAGTGGGAGTAGCAGACTTCCCGCTGAGCGGGGAGCCTGATGCAGGACTTGATCCCAGGACCTCAGGATCATGACCTGAGCCAAAGGCAGAAGCTTAACTGACTAAGCCACCCATGCGCCGAAGATGTTTATATTTTTTATGTGAAAAGGATAACTAAAGGTGATGTGTGTGTAGATAATGCTTTTTAAAAATAAATATACAAGTAATTATAGTTTTATTAATGACTATATAATTCTGATAGTGTACTGTTTGAAATCTTAATAGAAAGGTAGGATTATGAATGTTTTAATTTTCCTCTTTTGTTTATGTATTTCACTTTATAGGGAGTATTGGTTATATAATAAAGTTAATTTTTTAAGAAATAGGAAAACAGGTAAAATTTAAAAACATTTCAGTAATGAAACAAGGGTAAATTTTTTTTTTTTTTTTAAGGATAAATGGTATTAGGAGATTTTTTTATAACACAATAAAATGGATGTTTTATACTAACCTTAATCAGGATACAATACTGTATAATCTTACTGGTGGTACAGAAAAGGATGCTTGTTCACCAGAATGTTATGGTTATCTCTCACTCCTGGGATTAGGAATTATTTTTTTCCTATAAATTTTTTCTTTAGCTTTCAATTTTTCTTTTGCTGAACTTGTATTAATTATATAATTAAATATATGGTGTAAACATTTGGGGGGGTGGAATTTAACACATGCTCTAAAAGGAATTCAAACCACCAAATCTTTACTTGTTCTCCCCAGAGTTGGATTAATACTACTATTGTGTATGATGCTTGGGTCTTTTTGCTGTTTAATGAACAGGAGTTGATCCCTATTTCATTTTTCAGTACAATATCAGAAAATATATTTAAAAGAGCAGAGTTTATCAATAAAGGATCTTTAGCCTACTTTGTTGTCTGGTTTACAGTCTTTTGACATTATTTGTGTGGGAAACCTTGTATGCATTGGTATTATAAATACCAAAATGAGCTCAGTTCTTATTCTTAGTTCAGTTATATTAATGGTATCTAACCATATAGTTCATTTCTATTTGGACAGAAAAGTTTAGTGCAGTCTAGTAGTAACTTATCTTCTCTCTATAAAATATTAGTGTTACCCAACAGTAGTTTTAAGTTTTAAGTCATTTCTAAAAATAGTATGGATGGATTTGCATTATTCATCTCTAAGTGTGTGGTTTTTTTTAAAATACAAACTAAGGATAAATCTTATTTCTTAACTCATGTTGTTATCTTCAACTAGAGCAGATAAATGGACAGCTGTTTGTTTCTTAATGTATTCTTAGAAAAATCATGTCTTTAATAACCTACCATTTTTTTAATCATTGAAGTAAAATTTACATAAAGTGAAAGAAATTGCCGAGTAGTCTTATAAAGTTGTATTCTAATTTTGCACTTCCCTAGCACCATTTGAGAGTTCTCATCTCTCCACAATCTGATGAACATTTGGCATTGCTGTTTTGTTGTGGTTAACTTGAATATGCCTGATAACTAATGATATTGAGCATCTTTTCACGTGCGTATTAGCTAGTTTTTCCCTAGTTCTGGACTTCTACAGTTCCCAGTTCTTCAACTCCTTATAAGGAATGGACAGTATCCCAAGTCTCCTGCCTTTTCGTAGCTTCCCTTACTGTTTTACTTAAGTATTATTGGCAGTCATAGTGGTTAGTCACTTTATAATATCCTCGAGTACTTTTTTCTCTCACTTTGTTTGGTGAAACCACACTCTGGTTAAATTCAACTCAACTGTCAACTCCCATTCCTGTTCTTAAACAGCACATGGCTGGGGGAAAAAAAAAACCAAAATAACAGTTATTTATGTCATCACATTGATTCTGTTCAATTTAGGTCAGAGAATGCCACTCTTCTGTTTAAAACCCTCCAGTAACTTTTCATTCCACTCAGAGTGAAAGCTACCACATGTACTGTACCCTGCCAGATTGGCCTTCCATTGCCACTAATCTTGTCGTCTACTCCTCTACCTTTCTTTGGGACCATGAGTACAGAGATTTTCATTTTGTTTTCTTGAAAGCATTGGCATAAACACTTGCTGTAAGATTGTGCCTACCTCGCATGTGCTAGGCACTGAAGGTGCTTTTTTTCCTTACTAAGTGAGTCCCTCTCCCACCTGTTTTTTAAACTTTGTTTTCAGATCCGTGATTCTAATTGCAACTATGAGGCCTTTATGAACATTATTAAATTGAGTGACAATATTGGAGAGCTAGAAGCGGTCAGAGATAAAGCAGCAGAAGAATTACAGTATCTTCGATCTCTAGATACAGTTGGTGATGGTAAGTCATTTAAGTATAGAAATGTCGTACTTCTTTAATCATTACTATATCTTTACACAAAACTTTAATTTACCTAAATGTCATTTTATGCTATTAGTTACTTTCACCTTATCTAAATCTAAATCTTTCTTATTATGTTAACATGTGCTAAGAATAAAAAGCATTATAATTTTCTGAATGTGAGGCTATTCATATTGTAATTATCTCTAAAGTAAAAATAATAGGCATGGTTTAATTTTAATTAAATAATTTCACTATAAAATTTCAGATTATTTCTTTTATTGTTTGCTGTGTTCGTGGTTATTATGTTAAATTACAATACATACATGTTTAAAGTATTTCATAAATAACATTACCACTAGCTCATAATCAATTTGTTTGTATTTAGATATCAACACTATCAAGAATCAAATAAATAGCTTATTATTTGTAAAGAAAGTATGTGACTCAAGAATACAGCGATTGCAGTCAGGCAAAGTAAGTAAAGTACTTTCAGATTAATGTTTAGTTATAAATACTTTATATTCACTTAAATCTCTAGCAGATGACAAGAAGTGGAATATTAACCAGTGCAGCCTTCCACAAAAGGACTTGTAGGGAAAATTTCTCTTATACATTATAGTATTATAAGTATTTGTTAAAGCCAAAGAGGTTAAAACGCTTCCTGTAAAATGCCACAGTAATGAAAGATTTTATTTATTGATTTATTTTTTCATTTTTTATTCAAAATTTAACATTTATATAGTTTTATACACTGGGGACCATTTCAGATGGACCTAATAGACAAAAGCTCTCTCTTCATAGAACTTCTATTTTAGTTGCAGAGTCAAAAATAAACCAGTACATAAATTAATATAAAAGTATATATTAATATAATATATAATATAAAATGTTAAAAGTGTTAAAAACAAGTAAATATAAAAAATAACAAGTAAAGCAAAGTAGAGGGATAGAATATTTTAGATAGATGCTGAGTGATTTGGTTACATTTGAGCTTAGAGAAATCTGATAGAATAATGAGAGTCCTGAGAAATTTTTTTTTTTTTTTTGAAGAATCTTGGAGGCAGAGGTGAAAGCATCTGCAAACGCCCTGCGATAGGAAGGTGTGTGGTGAGTTAGAGTAGGTCAGCCTGGCTGGTGTGGAATGAATGAGAAGGCATGATAGTGGGAACGAAATTGGAGAGGAACCGGGGGACTTAGATCATACATGGTTTTATCTACCATAGTAAGATTCTTTAAAAATTCTAATTGTGTTGGGAATCCATTGGAGATTTGTGCTGGCAAGTGACATGATCTGACTTCTTAGTTAAAATAATTACTTGGGCTCTTTGTGATGTTTAGAGCGTGGTGGAGTTGCAGCGGGCACGAGAATGGAGACTGAAAGATCATTTAGGAGACTGTTGGCTTTAGTCCAGTACGATGTCTGCAGAGGCGGTGAGAAGTAATTAGAGACGGGGTATAGTACTAACAGATTTGCTAACAGATCAAATGTGGAGTGAGAAAGGACAAAAAAGGACTTGAGGATTGCTAGAATTTTTGGTCTCAGCAACTGCATGAATAGTGTTGCTGTTTACTAAAATGGATAATATAGGAAAGAGGAGGTTTGAAAGAGAGAATCAAATTTTGGATGTTTTAGCTTGAGATCCCTGTTTGACACTCAAATAGACCCAGTAGCTTGTAAACTCTGTAGTTCAAAGAAAAGGTCGGTGATGTGTTATTAGATGTTTATTTAAAGTAAAGAGACTGGATGAAGTTACCTAAGCGAGTGAATGTAAGTAAGAATATAACCAAGGACCTAGTCTAGAGGCAGTATACTAGAGTTTAAGACAAGGTGGAAGATCTAGCTAAAGAAACCGTAAGTGGCTGGTGAAATTGAAGGAAAACCTGGGAGTGTGATATTCCAGAAGCCAACTGTAGAAAGTTTTTAAAGAAGTGAGAGATCAGGTATGTCAAAGGCTACTAATAAGTTGAGTAAGGTGAAGACTTAGAATTGACCATTAGATTTGCCAGCAGGGGAATATTGGTGATCTGAGAATAGCATTTTGGAGTAGCGGAGAGAAACCCTTATTGGAGCTGGTCCAGGAGAAAATGGGAAGAGATGAATTAGAAGCAGTGATTGTAAGTAGCTGTTTGGAGGGGTTTTACCTCAAAAAAGAGCAGAGATTTTTCCTTACTAACAGAAAAGAGCTTTTTTTACTACCTTAGTTTTTAGTGTAGTTAATTTTTTTCTTTTTTTTTTTGGCTGGTTTTCTGTTTTGGAAATTTGTTGTGACTCTCTGGGCTCGTAGTATTACAATGTATTTAAATTTCTTAAGGAATAGAAGACTTATTTTTATAAATCTTGAGTTTAGTTGCTGGATTAATTATAACTCACATTACTTGAGGCCCACATTTGTCGTATACCTGAGTGTACATGTATGCATATCTTTGTTTCAGTTAACTGTATTTTAAAATTACATACCCATGCACATTCAGTATAGAAGAACGAAACGGTTTTATTTATGCTTATTTTCTCATTAGTTTACCTTGTCTAGGCCTCAGAATTAGTGATCTTTCAGCATCATTATTTAAAATGTATTTGTCCAGATACCTTTGTTTAAAAAAGATTTATTTATTTATCTTGAGAGAGAGCGTGCACGCATGTGCATGTGTGGGAGCAGGGGGAGGGGCAGAGTGAGAGAGGGAGAGAGAGAGAATCCTCCAGCAGACTCCCCACTGAGTGTGGAGTCCAAAGCAAGGCTTGCTTCCAGAACCCTGAGAAAATGTCCTGAGCCAAAATCAAGAGCTGGACACGCAACCAACTGAGCCACCAAGGCACCCCCAATGTTCAAACACCTTTTGATAGCAAATCCCTTTAAAATTTAGATATTTTGTTTTGAAGCCCGTCAATTCTTTTGAGTATCAAGTTTTACCTTTTTAGTAGCTCAGGTCATACAGTGTTTTTTCTTGGGAAGAAAAGTCAGAATCTCCACAGAGATGAAGTTTTTTAACCATACTACTCATCTTGAAATCTTTGAAGGCCCTTTATCTTTTTTATTACAAATAAAGCTATAGTGAATACTCTTCTGCATTTCATATATGTGGAGCTGCTTCTGGGAAAGAGAAAGAGGTGATAAGTTTGAAGAAAGAAGACTTAGGAGAAAGCATGTGCTGGCACCAGGTTGCTTTATGCCAGACATTTTAAGTCAGTTATCTATTATTATACAGTGTTTATATGAAGGGAAATACTTCTTAGAGAGGAAGTTTTCCCCTTTTCTCAAGTTCTTTTCCTTCTCCTTTATGTACCACCTACATCTAATTTAGGATCTGCCCCTAATTAAGGCAGCCTGTCTTTCAGAAAAACCTTCTGATCTTTCTTTTCTTTATTTTTTAAAGATTTTATTAATTTATTTGAGAGAGAGACAGCAGAGCGAGAGGGAGAGAGCACATGAGCGGGGGTGGAAGGAGCAGAGGCAGAGGGAGAAGCAGGCTCTCCGCTGAGCAAGGAGTCCGACGCGGGAATCAGTCCCAGGACCCTCATGGGTCATGGGATCATGACCTGAGCTGAAGGCAGACGCTCAACGACTGAGCCACCCAGGCACCTCTGATCTTTCTTTTTTAAATAGAGGATTGTGAAATACGGATTTAGGAATGCAGAGAAACTGGTGACACAGAAACATATGGGTTTTATGGAAGAGGCTGCAGGCTTTGAAAACACTGAGTCGTTCTTGGCAGCTTTGTGATCATAGGCAGCCTTTCTGATTTCAGCTTTCTTATCTCTTAAGTGAGGTGGGTGATACTTATCGAATAGGATTGTTGTGGAGAATAATGTATATAATATACATAGCACAGTGCTTGACATGTAGATTCTCTATAAATTTTTTTGAAGATTTTATTTATTTGTCAGAGTGAGAGAGAGAGCACAAGCAGGAGGAGCAGCAGGTAGAGGGAAAGGGAGAAGCAGGCCCCCCACTGAGCAAGGAACCCGACACGGGACTCCATCCCAGGACCCTGGGATTATGACTTGAGCTGAAGGCAGATGTTTAACTGAGCCACCCAGGCATCCCTAGACTCTCTAAATTTTGAACCTATGTTTTATTTTTTAATTTTTTATTTTTTTCATGTATAGGTAGTTACCTTGCTCTATTACTTTGAAAACTAAATATAATTTACTGTTTAGGTAGTCTGAGAAGAAACACATTTTCTATAAAAGACGGTAGAGTATTCTGTTGGAAGAAAAATTACTCTTTCGGGATATTTTCTGTTCTCTCAGTGGATAGACTTCAGTCTATACTTGAAAGTGTTGGGCTTTATTTATTCTTGGACATTGTAAGCATTCCAAACATCCCCTTTACCTCCTAAAATGTTCATTTTCATTTGGAATATGTAGAGATAGAGAATACTTAAAATTCTAGTAATTTAGAATTATTTTGTAATGAAAGAAGTGAATGCTTATACTTTTAATGCATATTTACTAAGCAACTCTTAACTAGGAAATTCTCTAGGCTGGGACTGTTGGGAACCCACATGAACGAGAAAATGCTTAATATTTTTATATCTATGTAGAGATCTTTGACCTAATGAGTGAATAGATGAAGTATTAACCTACCTTTACTTTTCTCTGTAGGAAATAAATACTGTGAAACTGGCAGCAAACTTTGGGAAACTTTGCACAGTCCCCTTGGACAGCATTCTTGTAGACAATGTTGCACTACAATTTTTTATGGGTAGGTAAATCCATTTTATGAAAATAATATAGCCCTCAAAATTTTTAATAATTATAAATATTATTAAATTTTAAATATCTGATATTAAGCATGTCAAATATGTCTTTCCTCTACTCCCCATTCTCTGAAGTATTCCTTTTTTGGGAAATCATAGAGGTAGAGATATATTTTGTTTAGAAGGAAAGAAATGCTTATTATAACTTAAATGTGCATTTGTTAAATATTGCTTATTTAAATTCTAGCAGAGTCTATGAATTTAAATTATTTGAGAAAGAGTACTTTATCAGCAACACACGTTTATAACTTATTTGTATCATTTTGTGCATGAATAGAAGGACTTTATTTTTATATCATTTTAATATATATAAATATTTACTAATTTTGTTAATATTATAGTTGACCCTTGAACAACATGGATTTGAGCCGTGCAGATTCACTTATTTATACATGGATTTTATTTGATAAATACAGCATAGTAATACAAACATATTTTCCTTATGATTCTCTTAATAACATTTTCTTCTCTAGCTTACTTTAAGAATGTAGTACATACAAAATGTTCTATGTGTTAATTAACTGTTTATATAATTGGTAAGGCTTCCAGTCAGCAGTAGACTATTAGTAGTTATGGTTTTGGGAGTCAGGAGTTATGCATGGATTTTTGACTGCGTGGTGAGTCAGTGCCCCTAACCTAACCTCTGCATTGTTCAGGGGTCAACTATACATCAAAATTGCTTTTTATCTGGAGAACATTTTCAGTAACCTTCCCTGATTCTTCATTTTCATGACCAAAAACATAAATACATGGCTTGTTGAAGATCCCAGTCCTTACTTTTAATACTTGTAGGAACATTAATATTATAATTAATAATCTTTATTGAGAACAGAAGCTGAATGTTACTAAAGTAGTTTATTTTTGATAAAGCCTTCTGTAGCAGTTTTATCTCCTAGAAATTTTGTCATGAAAAACGAGATTCAAAAATAAATACATCCATTTGTGTTTTTCACATAACTGGTCTTTTTAACCTAACCAATTTGTGATGTAAGCATTCTTTGTCTCAGGCATTTGCTTAACAGTTTGAAAATGTAGAGTTTTAAGTATTTGAAACTTTAATCCTTTTTAACTTGTCATATGGCTACATGCACCCCAAAATGTGTGACATTAATATCTATGTTGTTAATGGATTTTGTTTGGTAGATTACATGCAGCAAACTGGAGGTCAAGCACATCTCTTCTTCTGGATGACAGTGGAAGGATACCGAGTTACAGCCCAGCAGCAACTGGAAGTTTTATTAAGTCGTCAGAAAGATGGAAGACATCAAACCAACCAAACCAAAGGTCTTTTAAGAGCAGCTGCTGTTGGAATATATGAACAGTATTTATCAGAAAAGGTGAGGCTCTATTTTGATTACTGTTTTCTTATCTTCTTTGGTAGTATCATTAGTAATAATTTTTGTAATATTTATGAATATTCATTACTCACACTAGGCACAACTCCTTGCAAGCATTATCTCATTTAACCTTGATAACAATCTTTTTGTATATTACTATCCTTATTTTATAGGTAAAGAAACTCATGTTTAGAAAATTGAGTTAACTTTGCCAAGGTCATGCAAATACTAGTGACAAAGTCAAGATTCAAGGTCACACACACTCTAGATTCAAGGACATAAAAGACTGAAAGTAAAAGAATGGAAAAAGGTAAACCATGCATACAGTAACCAAAACAGAGTTGGAGTGGCTATACTAATATTAGACAATAGATTTTAAAACAAAAATTGTTACTAGAGAAAAGAGGAGCATTTGATAATGATAAAAGGGTCAATTGATCCTTGATTTATAACTGTTAAACCAGTTATAAACACAACAGCAAAACCTCCACATACATAGGACAAAACCTGACAGAATTGGAGAAAGAAATAGACAATTCAACAATAAGTGGGTATTGAAGACTTCAGTACTCACTCAATAACTGATAGAACAATTAGAAAATGACCAAAGATACACAAGAATTAAAGAACACTATAAACCAATTAAACCTACACATCTATGAATACTTCCCTTAACAACAGCAGAATACACATTATTTTCAAGCTTACATGGAACATTGTCTAGGTTAGATAGACCCTTTACTAGGCCATAAACAGCTCTGAATTTAAAAGTATTGAAATCATACAAAAGTATGTCCTTTTATCATAGTAGAATTAATTAGTAATTAACAGAAGGAGTTCTGAGAAATTATAAATATTTAAAAATGAATACATTTCTAAATAGTCTCTGGATCAAAAAGAAATCAGAAGGAAATTAGAATGTATTTTGAATTGAATGAAAATAACACAGTGTATCAAAATTTATGGGATGCAATTACAGCAGTGCTTAGATGCCTAGTTAGAAAGAAGAACTCAACTTGCCACTTTAAATGCCTAGTTAGAAAGAAGAACTCAAAACGACAATTTACATTTTCACCTTAAACTAGAAAAGGAATAGCAAAATAAAGTCAAGGTAAACTGAAGGAAGGAAGCAATAAAGGTCAGAATAGAAATCCTTGAAATGGAAAACAGAAAAACAGTAATGGAAATCAATAAAACCAAAAGTTGATTCTTTAAAAGAAAAATAAAATTGACAAACCTTTAGCCAGCTTGGCCAAGAAAGAAAAGAAAGTCACAGATACCAAAATCTTGAATGAAAGAGGAGGCATCATCACCAACCCTATGGAAATAAAAAAGACTATAAGCAAATACTATAAACAACTTTATCACAAGAAATTAGACAACTTAGATGATATGGGCAAATGCCTTGAAAGACACAGGTTGCCAAACTGTCATTCTGATACCAAAGCCAGACAGAGACATCATTCAGGAGACTACAGACCAGTATCTCTCATGAATATGGACACAACAATCCTCAAGATTCCTCACACTCCAGTATTTGTAATGGCTATGCTATAATACCTTTTAATTTATATGTACTAGCACAAAAATTGTATATGAAATTTTTTTAAATAAGATTTTATTTTTATTTATTTGAGAGAGAGAGAGAGATAGCGAGAGAGATAGGGAGAGAGAGAGCATGAACGGGGAGGAGAGGGAGAAGCAGACTCCCTGCTGAGCAGGGATCCCGATGCGGGACTCGATCCCAAGACCCTGGGATCATGACCCTGAGCCGTAGGCAGACGCTTAACCAACTCAGCCACCCAGGCGCCCCTGTATTTGAATTTTAAGTGTGAATTTTATTTGAAAACTGCTTATTAGTCCATTTGCTTATATTTTTGCCAAATGAAATATATCATCCTGTTAAAGAGTGCATATTTTAAAGAATAGTAGTATAACAGACACATTTGTATATCCCATCTAGCTGAAGAAATAGAACATGTACTGTGCTTTTGAAGATCCTTATTATATTCTTCACCTGTCTTCACCTGTCTTGTTCGCCTGTTTCCTTACTCCTGATGAAGCCAGTTTTCTGTAATTATTCACTTACTTTCCCATACCATTTTACTATACATGTATGTTCTAAAGCAGTATCTTGCTTAGCTTTGTTTTTAACCTTTATATAAATGGAATGATACTATATGTCTTGCTTTTATTCCCCTCATTATTATATTGAATTTTATACATGTTGATTTATGTAAGTGTAGTTCATTTTTACTGAAGTCGAGTTTATTTACCTTCAATAATATTTATGAGCATTTTGGTTTGTTGCCCTTTCTTTTCTGTTATACTTTTGCTCTGAATATTGCTGTTCATATTTCTCCCTGCAAACATTCAGGAGTTTCTGCTCTTTAAAAACACAGCTTTAGTGTATATATCTAAGTCTTTCTGTGTTAATTTTTAAAGTAGGTTATAGAGTTAGCTCTATTGTCCATAGTCCAGTAGAATGGATTATAGTTAATACTGGAAAAATAAAAATTAATAGTTATTTAAGTCAGTTTCTTTCAGCATTTTAAAGATAGTATTTCATTGTTTTCTGGCTTTCATTAGTTCCAGTAAGAAATCAACTATGAGTTTAATTGTTATTCTTTTGAAGTTAATCTTTTTTTAAAGCTTTGAAAGACATCCTGAGTCTTGGGAAACCCTTCTCTAGGACACAGAAGTCCCAGATTTTAGCAGTGGATGGAGAAGATTGAGAAAAAATGCAAAACCCATACATGATTCCAGAATTCAGAGCTGAAGGCAACATTTTAGTGTCAAAAGACCCTGGCATGGATTTCCCACCTTCAGTAGTCATTGCTGTCTTTTTCCCTTAGATTCTAATATTGGCAGCCATTATTTACTCTTTACAGTGAATTCTCCATCATGTAGCACTCCATGCTTAAGTGCGTTGTTATCATGAATGTTAACAATCCTTCTTTACTTTTCCTGTCCTGTGCTTTGTATTATGATGGGACTTTTTAATTTTTAACATTATGAATATTTTTAACCATGTTTTCTAAAAGTTCAGATAATGAAAATGAGAATGATGACAGTACCAACATCAGCATGACCCAGACATTGCCAAAAAAGGAGACTAAAGGACTAAGTCATTTTAACGACAAATAGAAGGAGCCCTACACCTGGATTAGGGAGAGTAAATAACCAAAATAAAGCACACTGACTGCATGATGTGCAAAAAATATTTTGGGATTGGTCTTGGTGGAGAAGGGGATATAAAAGCAAATATGGAAACTGAATTTTGCAAATAATTTTAAGTCAGTAAAAAGTTTTTTTCATCTCCCAAAAAGACCTCAATCTTCAGTTAAAAGTAGTGGCTATTAAGTGAATAGCTTGGGCATACTGCACAAATGAACACACATTAGCCTGTCCTTTTTTTTTTTTTTTTAAAGATTTTATTTACTTATTTGTGAGAGAAAGAGAGTGAGAGTGCATAAGCGCAAGCAGGGGGAGTGACAGGCAGAGAGAGAAGCAGGCTCCCCGCTGAGCAAGGAGCCTGATTGGGGACACCATCCCAGGATCCTGGGATCATGACCTGAGCCAAAAGCAGATGTCTAACTTACCGAGCCACCCAGGCACCCCGCTTGCTTGCTTTTTAAAAGTAGAATTACTTTTGGGAGCCTTTGGTAAGAAGTTTATGGACTGGAAGGAATTTGTGGCCCTTTGAAATTTAGAACTTACTCTGGCAGATCTTACCAGCAATCAGGCTTTCTGTAGTATATCATGTTACATCAGATTGTGGCAACAAGAGTGTATTTTCCATCGCTACTAGATACTTTGATTTGAAAAAATGGGAGTTTTAGATATCTTCTTGATTACTAAGATTTTAATAAATTGCAGAAAATGTAAAACAAACTTTGCTCATATATTTGCATATTTAGCAGACAGTGTGCTTGATCTTAGCCAAAAGGCTGAGAAACAATAGCACACAGTGCAAATGTAAATTTTAAAAAATTCCTTTCAGTCCATAAACTTATCAAAGAAAATGAAAAAAATCTTACCTGCTAAATATAATATATTCCTTCTATACAGTACTGCTAAAACAGGATATCATTTGCTTACCTGTGATATTGAGGTCTTCATAATGAAGTTTTTTGGTCAATTTTTAGTTTCTTCAAAACATTAGAAACAATGAGATTTTTGACATTATAAAAATGTCAGAAAATAACTTCTTTAGACATTTGCTTCCACATGGCTCTCATTGTTGCCAGCCATAGAAAAGATGCTAAAATATTGACATGCAGTAAAGTCATATTTTCAAAGAATGTGATAAGAATAGTAACATTGAAAATAAATATGGACAAGAATTATAGTAAACAGAAATTTATTTGCTTTTCTCCAGAACTATTAAATGATCTTTGAAGAGGATAAAAGAAAAGGAACCTTGAAAAGGATGGATTGACCTGAGTTGTATATGTGTAGGCTATAAAAAAAAACCTCAGTCAAAAAAATGACTAATTTTTTTGAAATGAGACTGTTGAGAACTCAAAAAAATATCATAGGAAGGGGACAGTTAGTTAGCTTAACAGGATTTTCTTAGTTTCTTTACTAAAACTATAATTTATTTGGAATCTACCTTCACTCTCACAAGTTTGAATGACCTGTTTTTAAAACCATTTTCCTTGAGAAAGAGAGGTATAACTTTTAGTGACATCCATTATGTTTTGAAGTGTTTAAAATGGGCATTTTAGACACAAATAGTCTATATGTAAATTCTTAGATGCAGTTTTTAGTAAGTAAAATGTCATTATTCTGTGCCTAAATGGTTTTACTGAAAAGATACTTAACTTGATGTCATCACATTGGACTGATAAGGGAAGTAAGTGTGATGTAGGTTAAGAACAGAGCTGAAAGTCAAAGTGAATTTTGTATTTGATTGTATTCATTTATACCACTTGGTTTAAAACAAAACAAAAAAAAAGGGGATGTCCTGAAGTCTGCAGGCAGATCAGAGAAATATTGTTAAAAAAGGAAACACAAAAAGGTAAAAATATCCTATGGGATCATGGAATAAAAAGAAAGTAGCTTTTTAAATTAAATATAGGTAATACCTGTTTAGTGTTATTGTAGGTATACAACTTTTTTAGAAGTCTTATATTTATGCATTTTAACAATACACAATAATATAGCCTACAATATTTAAATATCTAATAAAGAGCTTAAAAAGTTAAATTGTGTATTGGAGGATAAAACCTAAATAGTTACGTTTTTCTCTAACATTATTTGTTTAATTAGTCTTACTAATTACTAATTGCTGCTTAACTAGTCCTCTTGTTTTAAATAACCACATTTGCGTGGAAAAGTACAGAATACAGATTAATAGATAATTTTGGAAAAACACTTATTTTTGTATTTTTATGTTAAAGTGGTAAAAAATGTACATAAATATTTTTTCTGTTACTACTTTTTTTGAGTGGGGAGATCTGGTTGGTTGTGTCCCATGATAACTCTTTAAAAGTTTTGGTCACGTTATACCAAGGATGAGTCCTAATCCAGTTCTGTATATTTGAGATTATAGGAAAAAGTAAACTAAATAAAGGTAAAATGTTATGATTTTCAGATTTGCATCTTATTTCCTAGAAACTGAGTTTCATGAGCTTAAAGGGCAACTGACAGGACAAAACTAACTAAAATCAGTCCCTCCCTAAAATTTTTGTCACACACTTAAAGTTGTTTAGTTCTTTTTTTGTTTCAGGGAAAAAGACACACACACACCACCACAGCACATCCTCCTCTACTCACACAAACAAATAAGCACTCTTCCCTTCCTCCTGCAAAAAACCCCAACCACCACACAACCTACTTGGGCTTACTAACTAGAATGTAGAGTGAACCAGGGAACATTAGACGTTGTATAGGCTTTTTCCTACATATTTATACCCTGCTGTTTACTTACTCTTTAAACTTTTTCTCCTTTTCTGTATTTATCCCATCTTTTCCTTGGATATCCTATTGGGTAGCATAGAGAAATTATTTAAACACTGCATTCTTGTGCAAGTTTCTTTAGGAGTTCCCATCCTTATCACTCATTTATTCTCTAGAGCCTTCAGAGCTAAAAATTCAAAAGTTGGCATGCCAAAGATGACCATATTTCTAGCTTTTCAGCATTTTTTTCTTTCAATAAAGAAACTTTTCACATTGAACATCAGATTTTATATTTCTGTGGCATATCTGTCATATTATGCACTTTACAATGGAAATTTTTGGAAAAATTAACTTTTTATATTTTTTGCTCCCCCATATCACACTGGAACTTCACTGCAGCATTATAAAGCCAAATTTAGAAAAAGGGTAGTCTCGTAAAGACTATTTAAAAAGATTGTTTCTAGTGTTAAAGTAACAAATGGCTTATTCTTTTGGCAGTCATATTAAATACACATCCAGGACTACTGGATGTTCAGCACTAACTCCTCATGACAGTGTTTCCTATGTGCCAGACACTGTGCTTGTATGCCTTAGATAAATCTCATTTATTTTTTATTTTTATTTTTTTAAGATTTTACTTATTTATTTGAGGGAGAGAGAGGGAGAGAGAGCATGAGCAGGGGGAGGGGCAGAGAGAGAGAGGGATAAGCTGACTCCCTAGGATGAGCAAGGAGAGGACACGGGCCTCGCTCCCAGGATCCCGGGATCATGACCTGAGCCGAAGGCAGACACTTAACCTACTGAGTCACCCAGGTGCCCCAGATAAATCTCTTTTAATATGGTAAAATAGTAATATGGTTACATAATAACCATAGGTGGTATTATCTCCATTTTGCAGATTGAGGAAATGAAACCTATTGAGAGGTAACTAACTCAGCAAATGTCAAGATTTAAATCCATGTTTGTCTCCCAGTGTACTTTATACTACATGATGACAAGAAGGTTTGGTTCTTATTTTAGCTTTCTTAAACGTTAAGGTGTTGTTTACAAACCAAGCGTTTTTTTTTTTACCAATTACTTTCGATAATATGGTTCCATTATATAATTCTTCTACTATAAAGAATTAACTTGTATTAGAAACTTAAAAGGTCATTACTACTATTATTTTTCTCTGTTAGGCATCTCCAAGAGTTACTGTTGATGATTATTTGGTAGCAAAATTAGCAGATACTTTGAATCATGAAGATCCAACCCCTGAAATCTTTGATGACATTCAGAGGAAGGTATTATATATAACATTTATCATTATATATTTCTTATGAAAAAAAGTATGTTTCTATATGTAATTCATTTTTTAAAAGGTTATTGAAACATAAAAGTATAGTGGTAACTAAAAAAATGAGTTAACTAACACTTCTCATTTACAAAAAAGTAGGCCAGTTTTTTGTTTGTTTATTTAAATGACAAGTGAGGAAAATCCTTATGTTGGGTTGTTATTTAAATCTGACTAAAGGGCCAGATATATAGTCTTAGAATTTCATGAGTTGATAATGATATATAAATGACCTGATATAAATTTATTTTACTGTGTTCCTGGAGCCTTTATGTGGACTTGTTTTTTAGAGAACACTACTTCCTGGAACATTATATATAATCTGTCATGTGACTTGTGTTGCAGTGGGACCATTTTCAATACATTGAGGTACTAGAGGGACCGTTAGTTGTGAAGTTAGTTGAGAAATCATTAGTTGTGATGTAGGCTTATTGCTGGCATCTTATAAGTATGGAATGTGTGATTCATTATAGCAATACCTCTTTCTAGCTTTTGGTGAAGTCTTATTAGTGAAAATTAGTACATTATCTGTATTAATGATGGAATATCTTGATTTATTTCAATAAGGTCTATGAACTGATGCTACGAGATGAAAGATTTTATCCTTCCTTCAGACAGAATGCACTTTATGTGCGCATGTTAGCTGAGCTGGATATGTTAAAAGATCCTAGTTTCAGAGGATCAGATGATGGTGATGGAGGTAAGGTGGCACATGTGCATGGTGTGTGCGCATGTGTGTGTGTGTACGTAAGTATTCCTATATACTGTTGACCAAAAGATGACGTTTCAAGTAAGATAAAAAAATGCCTTGAAGCCCAGTATGACTTGTAAAATACTTAAAACTCTATAAATGAATGACAGAGTTTAGTTAATACTAAATTAAAATGTTGAAAATTTAGTAACAGATTAGAACATAACTATAAAAGCCTTGAAGCCTTAAGAAGAATGTTTTCTTGAGTTTTATCACCCACATATTTCTTATGGTAGTTTCCGTTTTGCTAGTAACTAATAATATTCATGACTAACAGTGGGATTATTGAGAAGATTAAATGAGGTAACAAGTCATGATCCTGAGAGTGTACCATAAACTATATAAAGCATTGTTTTAAAAAGAATAATTTTTTTCTCTTTTATTCCACCATTTTCTAAATCCTGAACAGTATAAGGTGGAAGAAACTACATGAGTCGTTTATTCCAATCTTTCAGTTTTTTTCAAATGAGAATATTATCAGTATGATATAATGAAGAAGCAGACTTTGAGAATCAGAATATTTAGATTTTATTCCTGTTCTACTACTTAGTTACCTATAGTGATGTTGGCCAAACACTTAAGTCTGAATCATGAAGATCAGTTGTAGATCTGGAATAATAATTTTGTCATAGTAATATCTTCAGAGTCATTATCACACCATTGTCAGATTTAAAGGAAATTATGTATATGAGAATGATTTATAAACTAAAACAAATGCCAATTTTTACTAGTAGTATATAAGCAGTTATTTAAAAGTAGTGGGAGAGGTAGCACTTAGAGCACAAGTCTCCATATTGTGAAGCCAATGACCATTTTACTGGTGATCCAATTCAGCAGTACTTATAAAACTAATTATGTAAGGTGTGATAAGCTTCCTGGTATGTTCAAATAAGCAGTAGAAATAAAAAGTAAATGGGAAAGATTTCAGTAATTATTTTAAGAGAGTAATTTTAATTATTTATGAATACGTTTTATGGGTAGGACTACTTGGGGTTGGAGATACAATAGGTCTATTAAGTGGTAAGCACTGCTTTAAAAGATATCTCTGTTACAGCAGGTTCCTGCTCTTCCCTCTCCTCTCTCCCCCCCGCCCCCTTCCCTGGTCTGTATTAGTAAGATTTTACTTTTTAAATAATCTAAGAAATCCAGTTACAGGAGTTTGCATTTGAGTTTTAATAACTTTTATATTGGTTGTTGATCTAGTATCTTGAGTTTTTAAATTAATACTCTTTCTGGTTTGTTTTATTTGTAAACCTGGAATAATATTCCATTAACTGGATTTGATAGCATAATTAAGGAAGTTTGTTTTTTTTTTTTAAGAGTACTTCTGTGGGAGCTGAGTAGTAAAATTCAGTGTAACTCAAGTTTATTATACAGTATCTCTGTATTTACTGTCTCTTAAAAAATCTTTTACAGAGCTGCTATAAAATTTGCAAGTAGCAGTGCAACGTATATATAAATATATATAAATAAATATAAATAAATAAATATTTTTGTTTATTTTAATTTCATCTACTCTAGAGATTTCTTAGTATTATGGATTTGCTATATGACCCAGAATGAAAGAAAGATAAGTTAAATCATAATTGGCTAATGGTATGAGCTTCTAAGTAATCTATAATTTAAAGTGATAGTAGCATTATATTCTTTGGCAGTAGTTTTTGTTCCAATAGTGTAAGAACTCTTCTAAAGTCCAGTATATTGACTTTAACTTTTATTCATATCTTTCTAGGCAGTCTAGTTAGTTGTCTTGTATGCAACTAATGGAACCAGTTTTTTTATAAGCCATCTGAAACTTCCCAAAACTTCATACTTAAAGCATGAAGTACATTAAAAAATTTTTTCTGCAACTTGTTTTGGTGTGAAGTAAATGTACTTCTCATACATCAGCCATTGAGTCATCCTTCACATTGGAATTATTAATTGAAGCTTGAAATTATATACATAAATATATCTTTTGTCTTTCTAGGACATTGCTTTTTAGTATTCTTTGTCCTTATTGGTGAGCTTTTATACATCTTATAACTAAGAAATTGTCTAACCCCTTTTCTTGAAACCATTTGAAAAAAGTATGTAGAATGATGGGTATAAATATGAAGCATTATTGTTAAAAACAGCTGTCAGGTTTATTGTCTTTGCCCGTGTTTAGGTTTTAGGCAATTGCTAGGACTTTTTCAATAGTGATGCTTATGATTTTCTTGTCATTATAAGATTGTTTAATCAAAAATAGGCCTTCCGCACATTTTTTTGTTATAAATTCATTTTTGATTTTTTAAAATTAAGGTTCCTGGGATCAAGCCCTGTGTCGGGCTCCCTGCTCAGTGGAGAGTCTGCTTCTCCCTCTCCCTCTGCTCCTCCCCACCAGCTCGTTTTTTCTCTCTCTCAAATAAATAAATAAAATAAAATAAAAAGATTCTTGACACTTTATTTTTTAGACATTTTGAAATAATTGTCTAATCTAGTTTTTAACTGTTTAGATGATTAAAAAAAATTGCAGGCTACATTTGAGCCTAAAATGAATGGGCCAGTTCTTATCATGTGTGATAGTATCCTTTAGTGTTTTTTTTTTTTTTTCCTTCTGGGAAAGAAATTTCATTCCTATTTAATCAAACTTCAGTAGGTAGGTAGTAGCTGAATGGCTTTTGTAATTATGTGTGTGCTCTCTCCTCCCCTTTTTTCCTCCTTTCTGTTTATGATTGCTTTTTTTAGTTAGTTCAGCCTTAACATATTTTTAAAGTTGGTACTTCTCCTTCATTAAAACATGGTCACACAGTCTTTTAAAAAATATTTAAATAATGCTTTCTGTTTTAATTTTAATCACATTATTTTTCTCACCATATCAAATCATACTTTCTTTTGTTTTCTAATCTTTATAGGCGGTTACCAAATTCTTGACTAAATGTGGGCCTAGATTGATTTTAGACTCTTATTTCTGTATCTTCTTATTGTTGATCACAAAAGTAAATTACATCTTGTTTTCCTTCTGATTGCTCTTTTAACTTGATTTGTCTTTGGTAGAAAGATTTAAGAGGTGGGCAGACCACAGAAGGAAGTAGGAGGTATATAACTGAATAAGGAGGATAGAGAACTGTTTGCTCATTTTAATTATCACCTTGCTGTTAACCAAGGGGTAATCCTAGGTGGAATTTCCTGTTTACTTTTTGTGACCATAGGTCTGAGGAACCAAGAAATGTTCTTGGGCATTTAGAATTGTTGAAGCTGGAAAGGAACACCAACTGCTTCTTTCTAAAAGTAATAGAAATTGGTTTTATTTATTTATTTATTTATTTATTTAACAGAGCGAGACACAGCGAGAGAGGGAACACAAGCAGGGGGAGTGGGAGAGGGAGAAGCAGGCTTCCCGCGGAGCAGGGAGCCCGATACGGGGCTTGATCCCAGGACCCTGGGATCATGACCTGAGCCGAAGACAGATGCTTAACGACTAAGGCCACCCAGGTGCCCCTAGAAATTGGTTTTGAAGACCCATTTAGATACCCAGATTCATAAATAATCTCTTAAGTGCTGGAAGCCATACATTAACTTTAAACTGTATAAGAATACTGCTTTACCATATATTCATTTCTGTTTTTAACAGAGGGGCATCTTAATTGGTAACTTTGTGTGCTCAGATATAGAATAAAACACTGAAGGAAAAGACATTAATTTTATAATGTATAATTGACTTAGCTCTCTAACATTACTTTTTAAAAATAATGTTTAGTTGTTTTTTAAGTAAATGGCAGTGCATATGGAGTTTTACGTATCTTGTTATGTTATATATTGATTTAAAAATCTAGGGTTGCAATGTTTTTGGGCCAAATCTACTGAGAGCAAGTGGACATAATAGATATATTATGTATACAAACCGATCTGGTTACTCTTCACATGAAAGAAAAATTTTATTTATACTCTTTCTTAATCCAGTGAGACAGAACTAACAAAAAACTTGTGACATTTCCTAATGAACTTCACTCTGCAGTGTTTTCCTCATGTTTACATTTTATCAGACAACTTCATATACAATAAGGATAAAATATTTAATAATTGCTCTCCTGTACACAAACACCTATTTTTGGTGTGTATTTTGTGGGGGGCAACTCAGGTACATTTATATTTTCTCTGAAATACATGGCTTGCAAAACCATGAGGCTTAAGGGAGCAGCAGGTGTTTGGGAGTAGTATACCACAATTTCCTTTGCTGTTTTGTTATGTCTGCTTGGGTGACTTTCATTCTTGGTGTTTGAACCTTAGATAAAACAATTTTTTCACATTTTTTACTGTGTACTAAGTTGAATTTCCCCTCCCACAGAGTCTTTTAATGGGTCTCCTACTGGAAGCATAAATTTGGTAAGTATTATAATGAGCACTTAATTATTAAAGTGACTTGCAAATATTATAAAAGGTGAGCTTTAACATACATAAATAAATGATATATTAGAAGCTCTCAGATCATCCTTTTATAAGAAGTTCTTTGCTTTAAAAGAAATGTCAAATTCACATATAAATTCACTGAAATTTATTTTCATTTTTAAAAATGGGCTTTAAGTCACATCTGCATAATTCAGTTGTATTTGGTAAAAAAAGTGACTTCATTATTTTCAATCCCAATATTTAGTATTTTGAAATGACTCTTTGGTTAGTGCTATGTTGGATAGTAAACTTGTGACATACAAGTGTTTACACTGAAATTAGGTTTTTCTTTTTGTATGTAGAAAAGAAATATAAAATTAGGATATCTGAAAACTTCCAGATATTTCTTAACGTGCACACTATGGTTGTTGTAAAAAATTTTTTAAGCTTAAGGCCTTATAGTAAATAAAGCTATTTTAGGATTACAAATTTAAGAATGATATATTTTTAGCACATAAGCTGTCATTGGCATTTTATACGTTCAAAGTGAAGTGTGAAATAATGAACATTTCAGTTCTTTTATATATCCACCCTTGTCGTGAATAACTTATTTCATAAAATGCTGCTAGGAAGAAATATTACTATGTTCTGTGAAAGTTTCAGTCCAGAATTTGTGGGGGGTTAGGGAGAGATTGTTTGCTTTGTTTATATTCTACTTATATTACTGCCTCTTTCAGACTTTTTGTAATAGCTAAATAGTCTACAGGTCCATTATCTTATGTTGTCTTCTATATATAACTATATTTCAAAATACAACCTTATTGAGGGTTTTATTACTCTACAAAGTACAACCTTTAGCAAAACACTGAAGCAGTCAGCCATAGTGTTATGTCAGATATGATGTAACATTTGAAAGTATATTCCTAAATCATTTGGTGTCATTACCATTTGTTATATTCCATAACCTTATAACAAAAAGGAATAACTCGTAGAGCATGAAGAAAGTATTAGCAATAATATTCATTTGTAATGAAAATGTTTCCAGATGTGATGAAACTTCATTCATTTGAAATTTCAAGTATTCACTTTTGTAGTGCTTGTACAAGTGTTTGAACACTAGTAACAAATACTTTTTTTTCTTTATTCCATATCTGGAATAAATGCTTTTCCAAATAAGAGTGATTCTTTTGTCACATAGAGATATAAACCAGACAGTCTCTTGATTGACAAAGGTCACACTTGAGGTCAGGGACTTGCAGTATTTTGTTATTCACATAAATCTATTAAATTCAAGGTTTTAAGTTCCTGGAGTCTTTTGGATTCTTTCTTTTTTAATATATATACAAATTTTAGTGGATAGCTACATTTTAAAAATAGCTTTAAGATTGTAAAATGTCATAATAGTTTTTTCCAATATAGTAAGCAAAGAAAATAATGTGGTGATTTACTTATTTTCAAATGAGATTGGCAGGTAAATTATAAGCATTTCTAGCAGGGCCATCATAGTTGTGGATTATCACAGTAAATCTGAACTTTCATTTTTTTGTCTTATTATGTTAAAAAAAAAACAACTTTTTTTGCAAGCAGCTCAACAATCTTAACCCAAGAATCTTTACAAACTGTGTTTTATTTCGGGACAGCATAAGTCTACTTGTTTTGAAATCACAGTTTTCTTAGTAAGTAATAATTTAGTTCTAAATCAGAATGTAGTTAATATTATTTCACCAACTGTAATTTTATAGTCTACTTGATATTTACATTTGCATTATACCTGTGACTGAGAGATGTTTCATTGGATTTTTCATCATATTTAATGAAAATAATATTAATTGTTTAAGTGTGCTAAAAAGACACTTAGGTACAAAGTTTTCTAACAATTTCTGGGTTGCATAGTATAAGATGGTAACATGTTTAAAGTAATAAGTACTGTTTTGCTGTTGAAATGTTACTATAAGGGAAGGTTAACAATAATAGTAATAACAAAAATACTTCTTAAAACAATTGTTTTATATTCTCTGTGATAGCTTGTAATTGGAAGAAGATCATAGTAGATAATCTAAATTTTGTAGAATATTCTATTTTCTCTGAGGCTTCTATCTTTCACATAAAAGTAATAATAAAACAAAGGTTGTGTTTCTATCAAGATGTTTTATTATAGGTCATAGGACCACTTAAAAATAAGTGCACTCTTTTCAGAGCATTATAATTCACTTTGTAAACTAACAAAGTTGTAGAGCAAGTATTACACCATTGTACCATTGGGAAAACTGAGGTACAAGAAAGACTGGTTGATTTGGCTAAAGTCTCTTAGGGTGTCACTGGTGAAGCCTGGACTAGACCCATTTTAATTTAATGATTTGTCCACTTGACCAGGAAAATACTGTGGATTTTCTGTATGTTATTATCATATTTTGCTGCTCTTAAGGAATAGTATTAAGTAGTAAACTTTTTGGCTTTCTTCTTAGAATGCAGTTGCCTTAATTTAAATGGATTTATGTCATATATAGCTGCATTTAAGTCATTTAAATGACTCTCCTAGTAATATTGGTAATATCATGTTAGGACCCAAAGTCCATTCAGATCCTATGGTTTTTAGAGTATAAAATATATCTGAATCATATAATGTCTGTGTGTCAGAGACCATTTTGATGTTCAGTGATTACTAAGAGAACTCGTAGGCCTTAGCATACTCTGACTCTTATGGAAAGGATTTATTAGAGAAAAAGGATATAAAGCAAAATCAGCAAAGGGAAAAGGCGCATGCAACAAAAGTCCAGAGGAAACCAGGTACAAGTTTCCAAGAATCCTCTCCCATGAAAGTCACATTAGACAAACTTAAATCCTCCAGCTATGAATGTGACAACACATATGAAATGTTGCTACCAGGAAAGCTTATCCGGGACTAAGTGACCAGGGTTTTCACTGGAGGCAGGTCACATAGGAAAACCTCTAGTTAGTATATACTAACATTCCAGACTCCCAGAAGGAAAGCAGGTGTTCAGCATAAACAGTTATTAGGTACAGTGAACTACTCTTAGTGGTTAAGGAATGGTGGGAACTTTCCCTAATTCTAAATTCCCAGATGTCATCCAAGGGCCAGGCTTGCAAGCATTCCTTTCAGAGAGAAATTTCAAATGAACTCTTTCTTGTTTATTTTTTTCCCAGCTTTATTGAGATATAATTTACATAAAACATTACATAAGTTGAAGATGTATGACATATTGGTTTGATATTACAAAGTGGTTACCACCTTAGGGTTCACTAACCCCTCCATCACATCAGATAATTACCATTTCTTTTTGTATTGAGAACATTTAAGGTTTACCCTCTTAGTAATTCCAAGTATATAATATTGTATTATTATCATTATTATTTGATATATAGACTCAGGTTAACTCTTTCTGTACAGTCTGTCATTATGTGCCCTTCTAGGTATGTGTGGGTGTGTGTGTATATGAGGCAAAAAAGTTAAATTTAAACCCAAAGGCCATAGTTGAAAAAAGATTCATTTGGGTCACTCAGTAATGATTTTTGTTTGTGGAATTATTTTTGAAAGTTATTTAAAATCTTAGACTGGATTCACTTCATGTAATAAGTAATCATAATAGGTAACTTTTTTGTATTGAGCAGTCTTACTAAATGTTTTACATGTCTTCTTATGTGTAGGTACTATTATTCTCATTTTATAGATAAGGAATCTAAAATTATTCCTAAGTTTACAAAAATGTTAAGTAATACAGAATTGGCTCTAGTATAGTTCAACATTAAAAAAAATTGAAATGGTAACTTAAGAACATGTCTACTTATTTTTATCCATATTTTTTTCCTTGCCATATATTGAATATATTTGAGAAGTAACAAATGTCAGTATATGGATAAACAATGAAGGAAGAAATAATCAATGTACTAAGTTGATTTCTGAAATACTTTGTTTTATAGTTTTTTAATTATGGATTTTCTCTCTCCTGTTAGTATAAATAGGATTATTGTTGGGGGAGGAATACAGATAATATAAAGTTTACGTGGGGCAAAGATGAGTAAGGCATATATGATATAGGATGCTTTAACACTTTTTTCCTATAAAATTAAAATATTTTTTTGATTATTTTTCTTTTTCAAGTCTTTAGATGACCTTTCAAACGTATCTTCTGATGACTCAGTACAACTCCATGCTTACATTTCAGACACTGGTAAGAGACTTTGTGGTATAATTATTACTCAAAAATTATTAATTATTATCACCCTTGGATTATTTTCTACATTTGTTTTTACAAACCATTTTTCTCTTCTGTAGTCATTTTTCAGTTACATTTTTTTTTCTGCAGCATGTTTTTCATTAAATTCTGTTACATTTATTTGTATTATGGTTTGATGTATACTCTTTATCCTGTTCAGTGATACTTCGTGTATATGTTATGATGTACTTGTGTATCTTCTTTCTCTAAGGTTGTTACTGTTTACATTTGAAAAAGCTTAAATTCTAAGCATTTTGTCATTGCTAATAAACTCTTGAAACCCAATCTTTTCTTCTTCTTGTTTGCGTCTTGCTGGTAATTGTCTCCATAATTCTTATTAAATTGCTTGGGGCAGATTTTAGCTCCATCTTTTTTATACATGTAAAGTCAGACTAGATAAGTGGGTTAATGAAACACTGGTACAGGAGTTTACAGAAGCTTAAGAAATGCTTAGATGAGGTGAGAAACCTAAAATTTTGTGACTTAGCATACATGCAAAATCGTTAGTGAACTGAGAAAAAAATCTATTTTCATCATTGCCATTGGGTTATTAGATAATGCCAATGAGTAGTAGATAATGATGGTTTACTTATCCCGCCTCTCACTATTCCTAGATTATAGGAGTGTGTCTGTCCGATTACATTTGAAATATTACCATACTGAGGTATCTCAGTTCAGTTTCGTGCTTACATTTTAGGTAACTAAGAAGAGATTTTATAGTGCAAGTACAGCTTAAAAGATAATTTGCATTTTTTTTTTAAGATCTCTGTTTTTCTTCCCACTGGAGCTGGGGTCTCATTTTGCATTGTATTTCCTGCCATATTTTTGAAATAAGTTATTTATAGTTGCTGTCTAAGTTGTTCTTTTATCCTTTACAGTTAGTTGGTGCATACATTACTTTGCTTATAAAGGGCATTAGATAAAAACTTTGTCAATAAAACCAGAGGTTTTGTTGCTTTTCTTTCTAGCTTTTATTATAGTTGTTTCACTTTTCCTTCCTGAAATTTTGAAATTCTTTTTAAAAATCTCTCTTTTCTTTGTTGGTTTATCTTCCAAATATGAAAGTCTTTGTTAAACCACAAATGTTTAGTATTTGTCCTTTTATTTCTTTCTTAAAGACCTTAAACTTTATGTCTCAAAGAAGATACTCATGTCTATATTTCTTATGTAGATCTTTCTTTTCTCTGAAAGTTGTGATTTTTCTAGCTCCTTTGTCCATTTATTCAAGAAGTATTTATTAGCTTCTTAAAATGTATGAAAGCACCATACTAAGCATTTTTAATAAATTATTTTTGTCAAACTTATGTATAAATACTAAAAGCAGCATAATACAGTTTTAAGAGCATTACTTTTTGTCCATTTCCATGGGTTCAAACCCCAGCTCTGCCACTTAATAATTGGGTGAACTTGGGCAAGTTCCTTAACTTCTCTGTACTTCAGTTTTCTTATCCATAAAATGTAATAATAATAATAATAATATGCATAGTGTTGTTAGAGGACTCATTAATTACATTAGTAACATCAGTTTGTTCAATAAATATTTTACCAGTTGGTAAAATCTGGAGAGTCTAGATTTTATATTCTTAACATCTTTATTACAGGAAGTAGAACTTAGAGTCCAGTGAAGGGCTTCTCAAGGAGTGGTCTGTGAACTAGTGCATACTGCTTCTCTTTGTGAAATCTTCCTTTAAAAAATATTAGCTCAATTAAGCAATGTACTTAGTGATGAGTCTGATTTATATTCTGGTTCTTGTTCCTTATCTGATTATGGATTAGTGACAAATAGTTTATATCACCTGCTGTAACATTGTCCTAATGAAAACAATATTTCCACAGTAATATCTCACCATCATCTCATAATCAATATATGCAACCTCATTATCTTTTTTAAAATCAAATTGCCTTTTTATCTTTTGCACAACCTCTTTATTCTTCCTATTGTGCATGCACCCTAGTCATGAGGTCTTCTGCCTATCATTTTGTGATAAATCTGATAATTCTTCCCCTCATTTCTTTTCTATTCTTCTTATTCTCCTTGCTCTTGTTAACTTCTCATTGGTTATGATTTGCTCCTAATTGGCTTCTGCTTTCTGTTTTCCTTCCCCAAACCTGTTTTGAGCACAACCGATAAAACTATTCCCTTGTTGTCATGCTAACTGTGTTTGAGTGGTGGTGGTTCTCTAACATGATGAAAAAGTTTCATGCAGTTTGTTTTGCATAGGTCTCTGAGAGAAGGATGACTGGAAGAAGTGAACAGTAAATAATAAATAGTGTAACCTATAGTTACAGCCTCAGAGAGCTGGGTGACCAAAGTCTGTCCCTAGTCTTGTATTTCGTGAAAACAGGCACACTGATATTAGAAAGGGAACAAAGGACAATTTTGAGTAGAAAGTACAAATCTTAAAATAATTTTGATGAAAGCTTAAAAGAGGCTTCTGTCTAAACTGCATTTGCTAGTATAGATTTCTAGCTTCTATGTTATTAAAGTAATTTACTGAGATGCTATGCAAACTGTTCTTTGCCTAATTATATACAAAACACAAAATATTTAGCTCCAAAACTTGGCCACTCCCCCCCCCCCACAATAATGGATCAGTGTAATAATCTATTATTAGAAGAGCAATTTATACTTGTGGTCAGAATGGTAGTCTAAAGTGCTATGGGAAATCCTGCCTTCCACACATAGAAAGGCTGAAAACAAAAAAATAGCTAAAGGGAGAAAGCTACAGGTGCCATAGACCATGAGGAAAAATAAATTTAGGAAAGTGAAGTGGAGTTGAGGCCAAGGAGCTCACAGGAGCATAGACACTACTATCTTGATTTTAATGGCATTTTCATGTCCCTCAAGTTTCAAAGAGGCAGTATGGACTAAGGCCATAGAAAGCTGGAACCCAGCCCTTCGCATGAAACCCAAATTAACAAAGGATAGTTTGATATGAAAGGAACGAGAAAAACAGCCTAGTGTCTGGGGAAAAAATAAAGAATGTTTAGATCATGTCTGGAAAAGGTATCTGTCATCTGTAAGAAATTGAAAGCCTATCTTGATTCCCAACATGGGTGTGTCTAGAGTTAGCCATCTTCAAGTGATTTGTATCACAGGGTCTCCTAGCTGGAGAGGGTGTTAAAAATAGTCATAGAGGTAAAACCTAAGGCAAGAATGCAACACTATGAAAAAAGAACCAAATACAATTGTAGAAAGAAATATTGTGATTGAAATTGAGGTCAGTGGTTGGATTAAGAAATAGACCAGATGTAGATGAATGGAGACTCAGTAAACTTTTAAAGACCTGAAGAAATGATCTAGAATAGAATACAACACTAGAAGGATGTAAGAAAATGGAAAAATAGGAAAGAAAATTAAAATGATTCAAAGTGAATCCCTTTACTTAAGGTTAGTACACAATGGGAACAGGTTTAGATTTTAGAGACTACCTCACTTGAATGGTTTGTGACAAGTCAGTAGGAAAATGCCTTTTCCAAAAAAACAAAAAAACAAAACTCCAGAATGAACTACACTTGTAGATTTTTGAATATTATAAATGGTGAAGAGGCTTGTCAAAAGAGTGCGTGAAACCTTATTCCTTGGTTTTTGCTTTGTTTAGTTGAGATTTGAATTGAAATACAGCTGAATAGTGAAGGCTACTATGAAAGGTTATTTTGTTTCTGTTATTTTTCCTCTTAATTTAAAGAATAATATAATAGGTGGTAGTGTGGTATCGAAACTAAGAATAGGCACAAGCTCTTGAGGAAGAGAGTCTAAAGTAGATATCACTGTGTGGTTGGTAGTGTCATCATAAACTTATGATGGAGTTACCATGTATAAAATCTTGTCATTGTGAGTACAGAGGATGGGAATCTATTTTATCCTTTGATGACATCCTTTTGTCTCAGTCTGTCATTTCAAATTCTTCTTCATTTCATGTCTTTTTGTTTGTTTTTGTTCTTCATCTTCCTCCTTTTTGTGTGTTTTGTTCCTCTTCATTTTGTTTTAAATGACTAGTATATGCTGACTATGACCCATATGCTGTGGCAGGCGTTTGTAATGATCACGGCAAGACATATGCATTATATGCTATCACTGTACACCGACGCAATCTTAACAGTGAGGAGATGTGGAAAACCTATCGTCGTTATAGTGACTTTCATGACTTTCATATGAGGATCACTGAGCAGGTAATGAGGTTTTTAAAGTTTCTGTGTTTTACATTGTTTCCTGATTTGATGTTTGATTCTAAATAGTTCTGAGGATGCTAAGATACTGACCAGAGCAAAAGAAAATAAGGTAAGCATTTTTGTATAATCAGCATAATGTTAGAATGATTATGGGCATTTAACCAATAAATCAATCTTTAACCAGTCCCAAGCATGGTAGACCAGTGACAAAATATCAGTGGTCTACCTTGGAAAATTAAAATGAACGTATATTTCTGATTGTGTGTGTGTGTGTGTGTGTGTGTGTGTGTGTGTGTGTGTTGCTTTGTAGAGGTGTTTGGGTTTGGTTTAAAATAGGGAGGATCACTGCAGGGCATTTTGTGTTTTGTTTTTGGCAATATAATTCAGAGCTCTAGTTATTTTAAATGACATCCTTATGCCCACAGTGTAACAGTTAAGTCCTTGATCCATCAAGTTGTTTTATAAACCACAACCTAAATTAAATTTAACATTAACCAAATAATGTTTTTAATTCTTACTAAATACAACCCTTTTGTTTTATAGAAGTATAGGGACCCTTAAAGATAAGACATGTAAACAAATTATTTCTCTGCTTTACTTTTTTATTAAATACTTTCTTCTTTTCTTTAACATTGAAAAGTAGATTATCACCAGATGAATTGCAATATGTGATCTATGGAATTTAATTTTTGAGAATCTTTTATTTCATGCAAGGTTTTTAAATATGCAATGGTATTAAATCAATAAAAATAATTATTGGTGATGTTTGAATGGACAGAAGCTTTGAAATGACATTGTATTATTTGAGTAATCAGAAAATACCTTTTTCAGTTAAGATAGTGGAAAAAATATGGTTGATACCGTGATAATCTCATTAAAATATTCTGTGAATAGACTGAGATAAACTATTAATGGCTTAAAAGTGATTAAAAACAGATTAGTGTTGGCTCCAGAAACCCATATGAAAAAGACTATTTTGAATCATAAGGAAATTAATAACTTTGGACATGCCTGTTCTATTTTTGTTGTTGAATAGATCACCATGTTTCTTGATTTGTTTCTTCATGTTTAGCTTTATTTTTTTTTTTTTTTTTTGCAGAGGTGAAAGAATTTTCTGTCCCACATTGAAGAAGTAAATGATTGAATTTTTAAAATATTGCCTGTTTTGTATGCTAAAATCCACAGCTTATGTATCTTTCTCCCCATCCTTACACTTTAACCAAACAAGACAAATTTTAAAAATTTGAATTGCTAGGAAGTAGTTTTATTTACTTGCAAATCAATGGGAATTTGGTATAATGTGAAATTTTCTAGTCTAGGAATGTAAATGTCATGTTTACATATTGACAAATATAAGTAAAGAACATACTTTAAAAAAACTTTATTAATAGAACAGTTCATACAGAAATTTTCTTTTTCAATACAGCATCAAAAATTATATGAAATTAAGTGAATTCATTTTTGAGAGGGCTCAGTACAGGCAAAGTGGTTTTGACTTTGTGTTTCCTATCAAGTTCTGTTAGTGTTTGCTTACTTAAGTATATATAGATTGCTCACAGAGCTTAAGAATTTAAAAACAAAGCTTGTGAGTGAAAATGTAGCTTTAAGCAAAATGCTAAGCATTTGTAAATAAGATTCAGGCTGTTTGCCTCTTAGCTCTGCTTTACCTGTATCTTTAAATTTAAATCTCTCATAAAATAGAAGAAAAATGCAGTGACTCAATAGTAATAGATCCATTGGTAACAGTACAACCTGTTGACACAAATGAATTTTAATTCCATAGAGCTCTTGAAGTGTTAACATTTTTTAAAACAGGTTTTGTTTAACTTTGTGATGTAAACTTTTTCCAGGCTAAATATATGAAATCATTTATTTTCTTTAAAGATTTTTTTAGCCTCATTTGATATTTTATGGATAAAGATTTGTAAAATTGGAAGAAAATAATTAAAAAATTAAATGTGACATTATTTTAGAAATCGCCTGAACCTACGCATTTATTTATTCAACAAATATGTATTAAGTTTTTTCTGTGTGCTTGGTATTGTTCTCAGTGCTGGGAATATATCCGTGAACAGGACAGACCAAGTCCTTGCCTCTAGGAGCTTACATTCTAGTAGACACTGCATTACTGTTACACTGCGTGAATTGTATATTAGCACTGATAAATACTAGTGATTTAGAAAATATTAAGTATGCATTAAGGTAACTGAGTAAAAGTATTTATGTGTCTGGCTATAAACCAATTTTGAATCCTTCTAACAAAATTTCAGGCATCCTTTTTGAATTTTCCAGTAGTGCATCAGGAAGACATATTCAATGTAGAAAGATAAAAATCTCTTATTTTGGAATGTCTATGATACATATATGATATCTGAGCTCTTTGTGACATGAAATACTCTTCAATTTATGTGAGTTCTTATGTTCAGGCAAATTTCTAATTTTTTTTTTTCCATGCTTTAAAAAAAATTCTTGAATTTTTGGCAGAGGGAATTATATTACCTTTCAGGGAGTGGGCTACCTCTTACTTGTACTTATAAAATCTTTAAAATACCAAACTTGTAATGAGTTTAATATAGAGTATAAAGTTCCATATTTTCCTTTCATAACAATATTTGAGAGAACTGTCAGTCATTAATGCTTCTGTTCCAGATAATTTTAAAAGGAGTTTGATAATCTAGGCTTTAAGAAAATAACTTTTTTGGCATTTAATTTGTTTTTTTCTTTTTCCTTTTTTTTCTAAAAGGTTTTATTTATTTGACAGAGAGAGAGCACAAGTAGGCAGAGCCGGCAGGCAGAGGGAGAGAGAGAAGCGGGCTCTCCGCTGAGCAGGGAGCCCGACGCGGGGCTTGATCCCCGGACACTGGGATCATGACCTGAGCCGAAGGCAGACGCTTTACGACTGAGCCACCCAGGCGCCCCTAATTTGTTTTTTTTCTAATTAACAAGGTTTAATATTTTAAAGTTTCTGAAATAAATTGTTGTTTTATTGCAAACTGCTATATTCCTTTGATGTATTAATTTGCTAGGGTTACCGTAACAAAATACCACAGACTGAGTGACTTAAACAATAAAAAAAATTTTCTTTCAGTTCAGGAAGTCCAAATTCAAGGTGTTGGTGAATTTGGTTTCTCCTGAGCCATCTCCCCTTAGCGTTCAGATGGACACCCTTCTCTCTATGGCTCCACATGGCCTTTTCTTTGTGTGCTCAACTCCTTCATGTCTCTGCGTGTTCAGATTTTCTCCTCTTAAAGACACCAGTCAGATTAGATTAGGGCCCACCCTGAGGGCTTTGTTTTAATTAATCCCCTCTCTAAAGGCGCTATCTGCAAATACAGCCACATTCTGGAGTACTAGAGGTTAAGGATTCAACGTGTGACGTTGGGGCAATACCTTTCAGCCCATAACATCTTCGTATTACCAGAACAAAGTATGTATTCTGTAAAGTTAAGTCAGTTTAAGATAATGTAGAAAAGTAATATTCCAGCAAATTAAATAACTTTTAGGACACCTTGAAAAAATTAATTTATTTCCATAAGGTATATAAGGTATGATTTTTTTAATTAATTCATAAAACCAGGAACTCTCCGCTGGACATTTGATATTCAGTGAGGACCCATTCTAGTACTTTTGTGAGCAACCAAATTGGTGAATATGGCTACAGCATAACATTTACCCTGTGAATTGCAACTTTCCTTTTTTGTTTTTCTTGCCTTTGCTGAGGCAAAAGAACTGCCTTTACCTTTCATGTATAACATACAATGAACTTATTCGCATTTTAGTTCCAGGCAACCATCAGATTTGCCATTCCATTTAATAATTTTTTAGAATCTTCCAGTTTGGAGATGAAAATTAACCTAAACCTTTTCATTTCCTCTTTAATCTCTGCACCAGGAATGAGTTTTCTTTACAGAACCATTACTGTTGTTTTTAAACAAAGGATGGTTTTAGAAAGTTTGTTTCAGTTTAGGACATGTACCACATGGGAAAAACAGGAAGTCTGCTTGAAGTTTCAGTTACTAGGCTTTTGGCCAGCCACAGTCACTAGCTAAATGACTTTCCTCCCATGCTATGTTAGTAGCTGGTGTAGTTAAAATCTGTGCTTTAGCAAGGCACAGCACATTACTGTATATGTGGACCTTTGAAGGTGCACCCAAATGTTAAGTCTGTAAATGCTAGACCTAGAGCATGTACACTTGGTGTTTGTGGCCTTGCAAAGGTACAATACATACTAAAGGCTTTTAGGTTTTTTTCTTAATAATCTCTGAGTTTATTTTTCATGTGTTTGGTGGGGAAGAAGTGTCCGTGTTGTACTACAGTTGTTTATATGCAGAGTTGTAATAAAACTGTAATCAATATTTTGAGATTTGCCTTTTCTATTTTTTTTTTAAAGATTTTATTTATTTGACAGAGAGAGACACAGCAAGAGAGGGAACCAGGGGGAGTGGGAGAGGGAGAAGCAGGCCCCCTGCGGAACAGGGAGCCCCTGGGCTCGATCCCAGGACCCTGGGATCATGACCTGAGCTGAAGGCAGACGCTTAACAACTGAGCCACCCAGGCGTCCTGCCTTTTCTATTTTTAATAACTAGCTATTACAATGATTAACTGGTTGACAGTCATCAATACTAAAAAAGATTTTTTTAGATTTCTTAAGCCAGGAACTCATGGGTCTTTGATCTTTAAAAATGTATTTGCTGATACTTTATTCATAAGTCAAAGTGTTAAGGAAAATATTTTAAAACCTTTTATGATCGATAATTTTGAACAAAATTAGAGTGTTAAAATGAAACCCCATGTGGACATCATCCCTCTTTATCAGTTATCCATGTTTGTCATTCTTGATTGAAAATACTCCTTTATAAATAAGTAGCATTAAAACTGTGTTTGGACATACTTTCTGATTTTTGCTTAATAGAATATATTACAAAATAATCTGTTAAAGATGCTTTCGATATATAGAAGAATTATTCCTTGGAAAATGCTTTTCATTTTTTGTAAAAAAAAAAATTATTGAATGTATTTTATCTTCTAGTTTGAAAATCTATCAAACATATTGAAGCTTCCTGGTAAAAAGACTTTTAATAATATGGATAGAGATTTTTTAGAAAAAAGAAAAAAGGATTTAAATGCATATTTGCAGGTAAGTCCATGTTTATTATTGCCCATAGATTCTCATTTTAATATAGCCTACAGATATAGTAGATTTCTTTATTAAAGAATGTTTTAACATAATAGTGGAATAGTAACCGCTTTTCAGTAGTATGTCACATCTGTTCAGTAATTTATCAATATTCCCTGTTTTCTGGACACTGCTAGGGATTTTGTTGCTTCAGGTTTAGATGAATGCACACACACAGGCACACATGTCTCTTACACATCACTGTAAAGTCTAGGTGTTTTATGGTACACTAAACAGATAAATGTTTCCAATTCAGTAGGTAGTTGTTCTTCAAAGCTAGCATATTTTCATTACTGAAAAATGCTTCCTATGGTCCACAGTGAGTCGGAAACTTCTAAAATTACAGGATAATTCAAAAGAGGAATAGATGTGAGGGACTATTTCTTACATGTAGTATCCTAGGTATGTAGATTTTCTATTGTGGAATAACAAAACTTGTCTCACAAAGTTATTTATCCCAGAAAAAAACTTTTAGACCTGGGTACCCAGATGCCAGATATATTAATAATATCACTTTATAGTTTTTTATACTAAGGAATGATTTGTAAAGGTTTTTCATCAAATAGACCTGGCTTTAGCCCAGGTATGTAATGTTCCATTATTTAGACCCCCTACTCCACCCTCTAGAACAGGGGTCAGCAAATTGGAGACTGCAGACCAAATCTAGTTCACCATATGTTTTATTGAGTTTTATTGGAACACAGCCATCCATTCAGTTTATTATTGCCTGGTACAGCTTTTACATTTTGCTACAGCAGAGTTGAGTAGTTTCAGCAAAGACACAGTGGACTACAAAACTGAAAGTAATTATTATCTGGACCTTTGCAGAAAAGTTTGCTGACTCTTCCCTAGTATGTAGTGAAACTTAGCTAATGCTATACTGGATATTTTGTTTGGAAGGTTTCTCTCTCTCTTAAGCATTTATAAAAACATTTGTAAGCTTGATTTGGTTTGTTTATAACCATAATTGTAATTCCATGGCATTATTATTTCCTGGAAAGATAACAAAACATATAAATCTCTTATTATTTACCTTTGTCTTCTGACTTAAAGCTGGATGTGTGATATGATTTGTATGACTCTTGTCAAACACTTTGGTTTTTAAATTTAAAACATTTTTTAAAGATTTTATTTTGAGAGCAAGGGAGCACAAGTTGGGGGAGGGGCAGAGGCAGGGGCAGAGGGAATTGCAAGCGGACTCCATGCTGAGCACAGAGCCCAGCTCGGGGCTTGGTCTCACAACCCTGAGATCCATCACCTGAGCTGAAATTGAGTCAGACAGATGCTTAACCAACTGTGCTACCAGGCACCCCAAACACTTTGATTTTTTTAATATGTTAGCTTTAATTGTATAAAAATCTGTATCAGTTATGTATAAGATTTAAAAGACTTTTTCCCAAATCTGGTGCCATAAATGTATCTTTTAAATATGGCTGTACCAAATACATTGTAGCTGATGAACTCAAGATATGTCAAAATATCTTCCATTGAAGTAATTAAGGTAGAATGTTAGGTTGTATCATTTACAGTTGTGAAAGCAGTATGTTCAGATTATTTTATGTACTTTCTATTAATGTTAACTTTAGAATTAGGATGTGATTAACATAACAGTTTACTAATGTGGATCTTTGTAGTATAAGCTATAAGACCTGAAAATGGACTACAGTAGTCTCCTCCCCTTATCTGTGGTTTTTGCTTTCTGTGGTTTTACTTACCCACAGTCAGCCACGGCCATGGTCCAGAAGCAGATGATTGTCCTTCTGATGAATTGTCAGAAGGTCAGTAGTAGCCTAATGCTGTGTCACAATACATATGTCATTCACCTCACCTCATCTAATTATGTAGGCATTTTATCATCTCTTATCCTCACAAGAAGGGTGAGTACAGAACAGTAAGATATTTTGAGAGAGAGACCACATTCACAGTATATTGCATATACTTCTATTACAGCATATTGTTATAATTGTTCTATTTTATTATTATTAATCTCTTACTGTACCTAATTTATAAATAAAGCTTTATCACAGGAATGTATGTATGTATAGGAAAAAACAGTGTATGTAGGGTTCGGTGCTATCTGGTTTCAGGACTCCACTGGCGGGGTTGGAATATATCCCCCATGGAGAAAGGGGACTGCTATAGTAAATACGTTTGACAACTGTCACAGTAGATGCACTGAAAGTCAAAAAAGCAGATGGGAAGAATATATACCAAACTGTTAATGGTCATAGAATTATTGATGACTTTATTTATAAACTGTGTAATTGGTTTTTTAAATACAAAATTAAAATTCTGTACATGCTTAATTTTCTAGCAGATAAAGTTATAGATAGAAGTTAATTTCCAATACCATATCTATGTAAGATATCTTTTTTTTCCCCCATTAGTTACTATTAACTCCTGAAATGATGAAGGCATCCCCAGCTTTGGCTCACTATGTGTATGATTTCCTTGAGAACAAAGCCTACAGTAAAGGGAAAGGGGATTTTGCTCGCAAGGTAAGCAGACCATTGCGTTGGTTTTCTTTATAGGTCTGTTTTCATGCATTTTTTAAAAAGATTTTAATTATTTACTTGAGAGAGAGTGAGAAAGCACAGAGGGAGAGCACAGAGGGAGAGGGAGAAGCAGGCTCCCCACTGAGCAGGGAGCCTGACACAGTACTCGATCCCAGGACCCCGAGATCATGACTTGAGCTGAAGGCAGCCTCTTAACTGACTGAGCCACTGAGGCGCTCCTTCATACATTTTTAAATAAAAGAAAATAAATTTATATTTGTAAGTTTTAAAACCGGAAAGTTTTATTAAATGCTTTTTGGCATGTTTATCTTCTATGGTTTATTAAGCCTGCTATTGATAGGCATACCTGATAAATATAAACTATTTTTACGTGTAGATTAAAATCTACCAGGAGCTTAAAAGAAAGAAAAAAGACTTTTTGAAATAATGCAGTGAGGAACATTTGCCTAAGATAGATCCCAAGCTTTTCAATAACTTGAGAAGGAGCCATTTCTTACTGACAGGAAAGGTCTTTTACTTTGAGTGAGGATAAGAAAAATGTTAAATATAAGGTTATGTTCCTGAAAGTATTTATGCCCCTTGGGTGAAATCTTTATTATTTAAAATTTCTTTGGGGATATGGGTCCTAAACTTGGAATTAGATGGTAGGTTAAGACAAATGACAAAGTGGTCAAATCGGGCAAGATAGTTTAGTGAGTGAGAACACAGACTTTGGAATTAGTCTTTGGTTTAAATCCCTGCTCTGCCATTTACTAGCTGTGAACTGCAACATGTTAGTTACTTCACCTTTTGGTCCTTTAGTTTTCCCAAGAAATGAAGATACTGATCCTCATTTTACAGCATTATACAAGTCAAATGTGATATTCCATGTATGACAGCACCTGGCACTTCATTAACTTCAGAATAAATGTTGCCTCTTTGTAGTAGTGGCGGTAGCCAGAGCCAGAGCAGTAACAGCAGCTGGGAGGGCTGGGTGGATAGTGTGTAGGAACTCTGTAGTTTTATAATTTCTCAAAAGTCTAAAATTATTTCAAAATGAAAATTAAAAACAAACAAAAAGTGACTTCCCTGCCACTCAATCCCCGCACTCTCTGAAAAGACTTAAAAAAAAAGATTAAGGAATTGGTACAAAATAAGAATTAACTGGTACAGAATAAGAATTAAACATAAGAACTGTGTATGATTACTCTAGGGTGTTGGGTTTTAACATCCAAGTGGATGTTAACATTTTTTAGTGGAGTGTTTTAATAACAAGTTCCATATTATGTGCCTCATAATGGGGGGGGTACAGTGTGGTGGTATTGTCTTTGTATTTCATGATTGAAGTGATTGAGTTTAAATTTCAACTCTAAGTGGTTTTATTGTCAGTAGAGATGCCTTCTAGTGTTCCATCTTTTTGATATTTACCTTATTTTCTCTCAAGATTTTATCAGTTTTAAGAAGAACTAATAAATCAATAACAGCTTTTTTGAGATAAAAGAAATGTTACCTCAAATGTACACAATTTCTTTTTGTCGACCATAGTGCTATGTGTGTAGAGCATATATATGCTCTATATATCTGAACAGCTGTGTATTGCTTTTTAAAAATATTACCACTGGAATCTAAAGATCGTTCTGAATTTCTGGAAGTCCATAGTAACATACATTTTTTATAAATCATATTGGCTTTTACCAAGGTCATCTTGACCTCTTTTAGATTGGCACAATAATTTTTATGCACATCAAGAATTAGGGGTTTTCAGCTACATTTCCTTTTTGGCTAAATTATAATTTAATATTTTTTCTTAATTATATTTCACTGAAAATTAACTAGGTATTAGAGAAATCATCTGCAAACATTTTCTCAGTGGCTATCAGAGCTTGAGAAATAATACTTTATAACATATTAACCTGGTCACACAATTTGTCTAGCCTTTCAAAATATGTGGGCAATTCCTAGGAAGAGTAACTAACAAACAGTCTTCCTTTATTCACACTGTTTCTTTCTATTCAGTTAGATATCATGGTGTGAAGGCATTTTTTAAGCTATAGTTAGGGACCTAAATTTAAGTTAAAATTACTTTGTGTTGTTACTGATACACATAATTGAAGTGATAATGCAGGGAAAACATCTTTGGTAAGTCAGGCCAGGTGTATACTTATGCTGGTGATCCATAATTCATTCTTCTGCTTGGTAATTTACAAGGTTTTTTTTTTTGTTTTAAGCACGTGTTTTAAGACAAATCCTGTTTGTGGGAATCTTGTCATACAGTGATGGACTCTGTTTTTACACTTCTGAAATTCTGCTTTTTTCAGGATTAGGCATCAAAATCACCTGTGGAGGTTTTTCCATCCCTCTAGTTCACCCATTCCCCGTCCCCAATACAGATGCCTGGGCTTTACCCTCAGAAATTGAAAAACAAAAAACAAAAAGGGAAAAGGAAAAAAAATGGATTCCGTAGGTCTAGGTTAGTGCACAGGCAACTATTTATAATTATTAACTAATTCATGATACAGATTTAGGCTCTGTTATTTTAAGAGTATCAGTGGTAGTTTAGCCCCATATCTAGTGTGAGGCTACATATACACACACACACATAATTTTACCCACAAGTGCACACACATAGAGTTAGCTTCATCTTTTTATCTCTGTATCTGTGTACCAGTGGTAGTGTTTTTTAGACACTTCTTTGTACTTGTTTTTGTCCTTTGGTTCTCCTCTGAACTGTTCTATTGTGACAATGTCCCTCCTAAATGTTGCATATTCCATCAAGCGTATCTAGAGCACTATTGACTCAGCTTAATCCAAAGAGTAACTAAAACTCCCAATTATTTTACGGCTATCTTGAAATTCACTTGTTGTCGTTTATTATAGCACTTATTTAACCTTTTCTAGTTTTTCTTAATGGAAACCATGAAAACATATTAGAGTGAAGGAGTTTTATCTTCTTGATACCATCTCTTAACATTGTGCTATGTTCCTGAAGTAGTGGAGTTCAGTTTCTTTTAGTTTGTTTTTTTGTTTTGTTTTTTTGTTTTTGTTTTTTTTTGGTAGGGAACATAATTTGTTTCTGCATTAGTTCTTATGAGATTCACACTTTCTGGAAAATATTCTTGTAGATTTTTTATGACTTTGATTTTGTGTCCCTTTTTTCTTTTTTTCTTTGTTTCTGTTAAAATTCTCAGAGTTCCATATGCAGACTATTTTGGTTTCTAGATGTTTCTTCCTTTCTTAATTGAAATTATCTGACATTTGTGCAGTCAGAATGTCAATTTTAATGCTTCCTATCCCCCTGGAGATTATTCCTTTTTATATTTCTGATCATATTTTCTTTTATAGTTTTTCTTTTCTGTCTTACTAAAGGATTCCATAGTCCCTCTATAAATTCTGAGCATGTAATGTAACCAAAAACTTATTTTAAAAAATAAATGTTAGTTACTTGTTAGTTACTTGAGCTTTCCACTTATTTTATCTGCTTGTTTATTTTTCATTGTCTCCTCAAAATACCTATGTTATTATTGCCTTGAATTGTAGCAGAAGTGTGTTGTGGCTAATTCCATTTGCACCAATTTCTGTTTTGGAAAATGTTTTATTTTATTTATTTTAGCTTTCTTTAATAAGGCAGCCAAAACTTATAATTGCTAGCAATATATTTTATTTTTTGTATAAGCTAAAGCTTATATTTTCTAGCAATTGCCTTATCACCCCAGTTTTTTAATCATATATTTGTGTGTGAAAATACATTTTTAAGACAATACATTTTGAAGACAGTAGTTCTGTACTTTTAAAATGCAATGAGATGTTATAGACTAGAAAATTACTGCATTTTTCATGTGTGTTGCACTCTGTATTTTCCCAGGCTTCTCAGTTAAATAACAAGTCTGATACAATGAAGTCATGGTATAATATCTTTTCCCCTTAGATGGACACTTTTGTAAATCCACTTCGAAATTCTATGAGGAATGTTTCAAATGCAGTTAAATCCCTTCCTGATAGCTTGGCAGAGGGAATGACTAAAATGTCAGACAACATGGGCAAAATGTCAGAAAGATTAGGTCAAGACATAAAGCAATCATTTTTCAAGGTAAGAAGATGTTTTCAGTAATATCTACAGCAAACTATTTTTTAAATCAACTAAGATTTATTGAGCTTCTGCTTAGATTTACCTTATTTCTTTTGAGAAGTCCAAAGCTCCCTAGACACATAGTCTTATAAAGAATAAAAAAACTAAAGAGAATGAATTCTTATCAGAAATGGATACTGTGAAACCCAGTCACTCCTCAGGCTTTGCTGTGGTAGGATTTTGAAAGCCAGTAAAGATAACAAACATCCTTTGTACTGTTATATTCTATTCCATTTTTATTTTATAATGCTATTAAATTTTAAAACAATAGCAAGTGCTGTGGTGCAAATTTGCTATACTAGTATTCATCAGGAAACATAAAGCCTAATTTCTCCTGCTTCACCTGACCAAGTGGCTAGGCTAGGAGATCAAAGGGAGGAAAAGTCTCACAATCATCAGCGTTTGGGGCCATCCTTTACTTGGATATACAAGTGAGTGGTATAGAAGAGTTTCATAGAGAAACATTTTCATTACATTTGCAAATACAGGTAGCAGACCAAGTTGTTTGTTACTTTCTGAGTTATACTTTTTATAATTTTCACCCACTTGTTTAATGTTATAATCAAGAATATAAAGAAAACTTGTTACTGTTAGAGTTTTGTATTTGTTAGATCATATTTGAATGAAGAGTAAATATATATATATATAAATATAGAATATAAATACACAGTTTCTTTAAGAGACAACTCCTAAAATAATGTGTGTGTAAATCCATACTTTTCTACTTATTCTCATACTTTCTCTGATGCTTTATCTTTGTTTCTAATCATGGGGGGATGTACACTTAACACTGAAAATGAGGATTTTTGCAAGTGCCACTTCTGCCGATAACTACTCATATGATTTTGTACAGAAGTCACTGAGCTTTTCCTCGTTCCTTTTTCCTTACCAGCAACATGAAGGGGTTATAATAGGTGATCTTGATGGTCCCTGCTGTGCTGACAAATGATTATCAACTAACACCGTTCTCTCCATTTTCCTCATAACTTATATTATCTAAAACAGGTTAATTAGTTTCTTAAGTCTGTTAACTTACTGTCAAGCTCCTTATGGTAAAATAAAGAAGATTGGAATTCTCTTCTCTGGCTGTGCTACTAACTTTTGGTTTTTAAATCATTTAACCTTTCTTAGCTTTAAGTTCTAAAAAGTACGGGGGTTTAACTAAGTAATCTCCCCTTCCAACTCAAAAGTCCATTTTTTTTAAAGAAAAAAATCTTTTGGTAATGAAGTAATCACACTTTAACATTGGGTTTCTAATTGTAGAGTGTTAATACTTTTTAATACTATACAAACTTTGTTTATATATCATTCCAAAAATCAAATTAAATGCTACTATTATGCTTTATACTCATTTTGATTTATTATTATATTCTTTCACTGTCTGCTTTAGTGTGTTTATTTTGTTCTGTTTTTATATATTTTTAAATGTTAGGTGCCTCCTTTAATTCCGAAGACTGACTCAGATCCTGAACATTGTCGGGTCTCAGCTCAACTTGACGATACTGTGAGTTAATTTTATTTTTGGTAGTATTCAACTGTAATTGAAATCATACTTGGTAAATCTTTTTAACTGATTAATGAAGTATAATATGTATACCTATTACTATATACCTATGTGTATATATTATATGTGTTAAGTTTGATGAATTCTTACAAACTGAACGTGTCCATATAATCAGCACTCTAAGCAAGAAACAGAATGTTACATCAATACCCCAGAAAGCCCCTAATGCTCTCTTCCTGTCACTATCCTCTCCCCCACCAAGGATAATCACTATCCTGACTTCTACCCTGCTTTTATACTTTATATAAATGAAACTGTAAGGTATGTACTCCTTTAAGTCTGGCTTTTTTTTTTTTTTTTGCTCAACATTGTGATATTCTTCCATGTTGTTTTGTGTGATTGTAGTTTCTTCATTCTTGTGGACTTACAGTACTCCATTTTGTAAATATAGTATAATTTATTTGTTGTAATTTGAATAGTACTCCTGTGAACATTCTGGTACCTGTCTTTTGATTAAAAAATTAAGTATGCATTTCTGTTGGGTCTGTACCGAGGAATGGAATTCCTTGGTTAGAAGGTATTCATAAGTTCGGTTTTAAGAGATACTGTCAAATAGTTTTCCAGAGTGTTCGTGCTGCTTACACTGCTGCCAGCAATGCATGAGGATTTCAATGCTCCATAGCCTGCCGACAGTCAGTATGTTATGTCTTTTAAATTTTAGCCATTCTGGTTGTATCTCATGTGGATTTCCATTTCTCTGATGACTGTGGAAAAGTTGAACCTCTTTGCATATGTTTGTTGGCCATTTGGGTGTCTTGTCTTGTGTCTCTAGCTCTTTCCTCTATTTTTCTGTTGGCTTGGCTGTCTTTGTCTTTTTTGATTAACAGGAGTGCTTTATATAATCTGAATAGTGGTTCTTTGTCAGATAAAAGTATTTGTGTATTGTGAATATCTTCTAGTTGGTGTGCTTTTGTGCAAAGTATATATATATTCTGTGCGTACTATAAGGTCACAAGGATCATCTGTGATTTTCTTTAAAATCTTTTTTGTTTTATCATGCCGAAATTTAGATTTCCCATTCATCTAGGATTGATTTTTGTGTATGGAGTGAGGGCAGTTGACCCAAGCACCATTTACTGAGAAGACCCTCTTTTCCCAAGTGTACTGTTTCTCTCTTGTCACAAATTAGATTATTGTATATGTTTGGGTCTGGGCTTTGTATTCTATTAGGCAGATTTATTTTAAAGTCATAATTATCTCCCTTCAGTTTTTCATTGAATTTCTTATAATAAACTGTATTAAACAAAGATAATATTTTATTTGCTTTTTAAGGAGTATTTTATTGTGAGTTATGCTGGTATAACATCTATAACATCATACCTTCTTTTAAAAGTTTTTACAATTTAAGTATTTATTAGAATTACCATGTCTTACCAAACTAATGAGTATATACTCAATCAGAAAATAGAGAAGTATTTATTTGCCTCTGGAGTGAAATCCATCTCTGCCCCGCACCCCCCTAGACCCCTCACCAACCCCAGCCATTCCTTGTTTGGTTTAGCTGTGAGTTTTCAATATGTGGAAGGGAAGGTGCACTAAGAAAATGTTTACAGTATGACAGTGAAAATAACTCATGCTATTTTCTCAAGATTTAAATTACAACATGGATGAGGAAATGATTGGAAAGAGTATCTTAGTGATGAAAGAATTATAAAAGTACTGGCAATTATATGCAGTTTGTAGTTCTAAATCTGTTTTGCTTTGTAAATATTTTTTCACATCAAAGCTTTCTAGTTGTCTTTATTTTTTTTTAACTTTTATTTTTTTAATTGAATTGAATATTCCCGTACAAATTTTTACTTGCTAAAATTCAAAAGAAAATTTTAGGGGCGCCTGGGTGGCTCACTCGTTAAGCATCTGCCTTCGGCTCAGGTCATGATCCCAGGGTGCTGGGATCAAGCCCCGCATCAGGTTCTCTGCCCTGCAGGAAGCCTGCTTCTCCCTCACCCACTGCCCCTGCTTGTGTTCTCTCTCTCGCTGTGTCTCTCTCTGTCAAATAAATAAATAAAATCTTCGAAAATTAAAAAAAAAATTTTTAGAAGTATAGTGAAATATGCCTTTTGTAATAACTTAGCTATATACTGGATTTTATTTTAGCTTCTTTTTCCTGAAACTACCTAAGTACATACAGCGCACTAAGCAAAACATGTTATTTAGTGTAGATTGTGTTTTGTTCTATTAAATAAGAAGAAACGTTGAGACTATTTTGTTCTTTATCAAAAAGATGCTCCAGAAAATCGGCGAAGGGGGCCAGCATTTGCCTTATCAAAGCAGTACAGACTCTACTAAAAGTAAAAGAGCCAAATTATTTTTTCCTAAGACATCATAGATTCACTTTGAGAAGTTTTTTTCACTACCAGTTTGGAATTGTAGGGTTGTAAAATTCTGTATTCTTGCAAAATGACTGTTAAAAACATATGTTTTTAAAATTAGAATGAAATGTTAGGTTATAAAGACTGTAGTATAACTTACTCTCTGATCTCCGAAATTGAGTATCAATCATTTTGTAAAAGCAGCAGAAGTAGCCATTCATAGTAGATAAGTAACTCAAATAAATGTATTTTCATTTCTTCCCATATTTTTTCAGGTGGATGACAATATTCCACTTAGGGTAATGCTGCTTCTTATGGATGAAGTATTCGACTTAAAAGAGAGAAATCAGTGGTTGCGAAGGAATATCAAAAACCTACTTCAACAGCTTATTAGAGCCACATATGGTGATACTATTAATAGGTACCAATTTTTTTTTTCATTCCTTAGAGCTGTTCTTACTTAGCTCTTAAACGTGTACTTCTGGAAGTAGATTGTTCAACCTTTATAGGAGAATTTTCTTCTCTGGGCCTTTTAAGATCATTAAAACAGTCTGTTCCTTTCACAGATAATTTACATACTGATTAAGTTACTTCATGAAAAGAATGCTTATTTTATACACCTTTTAAAATTTTGACCCTACTAATTTAAATTTCTTTACTTTCAGAAAAATAGTTGACCATGTTGATTGGATGACCTCACCTGAGCAAGTAGCTGACTTAGTGAAACGTTTCAGGTATATCTTAAGACACAGTCACTTCTTTCAGGTAGTATAGAGTTTAGCATTGTTATCACTAATTAACATTCACTGCTTTCCTTTTCTTCCTGACCATAAAGTTGGTTTTAATCATCACTGATGAGCAAGACGACTTGTAAGAATTATAAACATTTTTTCCGTGGACTTTTTGATCTTTGTTTCTTTAAAACCAGAATAGAAAAGTATAAGAATAATCTTTAAGATGTTGGTTATATTTTATCACAGTAATGTGGCTTTAAAGTAGTTGAAATCCTTGATTTTAAATGAAAATTTTAAAAAATATGTATGTCTCTGGCTATGGACAAATTATTAACTATTTGAACCTCTGAAAAGAATACAAATTAAGAGCAGTGATACTCCAGTTCATATGTTCATCCTACAAAAATATTCTGAACCCCTCCTCTGTGCCTAGTATTTTGCCAGTCACCAGGGACTGAGATAAAATGCCGCCCCTTCAAGGAGAGCACTGCATAGTCAAGAAATAAACCTCTTTTCTAAAAGTGAAAGATAAGCAAGGCATAAATATTCATGGCATCATGTACTCTAAAGTAACAGAAGCAAGAAAGGAGCTATCAATATTGAACATTACTTGGCGCTGTGCCATCTACTTTATGCATACTTCCTGATTTTACCCTATTTTATGAGATAGGGATTGGTCTCCATTTTGTTACGTGAAAAGTGAGGATTAGAGAAGTTGAGTGGCTTGTCCAAAAGCTCACATGCTGGAAAGCGGGGAACAGCAGTTTAATCTGAAGCTGAGTTTCTACCCACTATACCGTACTGTTCCAAAAGTTAGAGCACCTGTCCTGGCATGTACATTCTGTTTCAGGGCCGGTGAATGATGTTTGGTTCACTGTGGAGCAGTGATTCTCATGTTGGAATCACTTGGAGAGCTTTAAAAAGTACTGACACTTGGATCCCATTTCTAGAGTCTGAATCAGTAGAAGTCCTGAACGTGAAGATTTTTTAAAGCTCACAAGTGTTTCTAATGTTCAGTCAAAGTTAAGAACAACTACTCTGGGGAGTCTCTCTCCCTCAGACCAAATTCCCAGATGGAAACTTAGTTAGTGTGTTCCGTTCTTGCCTTTGGCCTGTGAATTGGAGAATTGGAATCAAGCATGCTGAGTGAGTGAAGGAGAATAGGGTATATATATGTGAAAGGAATGTTGTAATCAGTCTAACTGTAAGGTGTGGATGCAGGATTTGTTTTGTATTGGCTTACTTAAAAGGGAACTGAGGGAGATTAACTATAAGGTATCCAAATTCAAGATATTATGGGGTTGTAATTGGTTTAGATGTTCAATCTCATTGAGATCAGAGGCCTACTTTGAGTTTAAATGGCTGTGATGTAGTCCCCTATATATTCCATTTTGCTGTCTTTTTCATTTGTTAGTGTTTATAAGTTATTCCAGGGCAGCATTCATCTGTTACTTCTCTTATGTATATCCTTTTACACCTAAAATTGGACCCTGCTCTTCGTTACTATTTGTTTGAATGTCATACCTCTATAAAATTTCAGAAGTGTTTCCACTTTCTACTTACATTTGTGTTTTCTGTAGAAAATTGGGATAATTTTACTGATTTATGTCATTAGAAAATGAAAATTTTTACAAAATGTATTTCATTTTCTTAAATAGAGATGCCTTTTGGCCAAATGGCATTTTAGCAGAGACTGTTCCATGCAGAGATAAAGCTATTCGAATGAGAACAAGAGTTGCAGGAAAAACTAAACTACTTTCAATTATGCCAGGTGAGTGAACAGGTTTGGTAAAAATCTTATTAATTTGTAGTTCTTCTGAATTTTTGGCACCGAGCATGCTGGGTTAGCTGCCTATTGATTTTAGTAACTACCATTTAATGGCTTACCATGAATCAGGCTCTGTTGCTGTGCATTTCTCATATATTCTTCACTAACTCTTGTAACAGAATTAAGAAGCTAGGCACTGTTAAACATTGCAGCTTTATATGTGAGCAAAGAGAAGCTCAAAGAGGTTAAGTAAGTAAGCCACTCCAGGTTTCAAGCTAGGAAGTGACTGTTGGGCTTCTGCTCCATGCTGAGCAGACTTGAAAGCCACTGCTTTTGATCATGAGAAAAAAGTGGTGCTTTTAACCATGTTATTTGCTACCTTGAGCCATTTTGAGAATAAAGTTGATGACAAAATACGTGACAGATGAATAAAAGAACGTGAAGTGTGAGGTTTTCAGGAAGTATATCTGTTCTACTTCAGAGAACATATTCTTTGAAAGAATCCCTTTATGTAGAAACATTATTAATCTCAATTAAAACATGATTCTGAGGAAAATATACTTAGTGGCATTCTTTTGGTCTAATTTGAATTACTTCTTTAGAACACTGCTATCTTAGACTCACTTTGTCCCCCTTTTGACTTCTCTCAGTAAGAGGGCCTCTATAATATGAAAAAAAATTTTGTGTCGCTGGGTGGTTGTTTGGTCCCTTCTTTAGTTATGAATATCTTTGAAAATACTTAGATATCTCTTCTCCACATTTTGATTATGAATATAGAATGGAAAAGGAGTATTTATGAAGTTCATTAACATCATGTAATATCTATTTCTTTTTCTATAACTTTGTTTTTCTTTAACTTAGAACTATATAGTTCATTTTCATCGTAGATTTAAAAATCTCTCTTCTGTCAGTTAAGTTGGAAATTTGCCTCATGGCTATGAATTCTGTCCTACAGACTATCCTATTGCATTTGGAGAAAAAAGCAAATGACAGAAATAACATTTTAGAACAATAAATGACAATTTAGGATTAGATATTATTTAATATACTGTTAGCATAAACCAGATTGTGCTGTAGACTGATTTATATAGCTGAAAGAAACTAATGCATTTGTTCGGTGAGTGTTTCATGTGCCAGACACTTTCTTTGCAGTAATCTTTGCCTTCTTGGAGGTTACACTCTATTAGGGAGCCACAGACAAATAAATAAAGGCCAGTATATTAGCTAGTGGTAAGTGCTGATGAGACCAGTAGTGCAGGAAGTGGGAAGTGCTGGGTGGGGGCAGCTGTGTGAGAAGAGGACACTTGGGTAAAGACTTGAAGGAAGTGAGGCTAAATATAAAGGTATGAGTTTATATACACATAATCCCTTTCCTGTTTTTATTAGTAAATTCATAAGCCGTTTGCTTTAAATTACCCTGTACTCCTAGGTAGAAACATACCTTTTGGAAGTTGCATGGTTTTTTTTTAAAGCAGTTAAATAGTATTTACTGCTATTGAGGCCCTGATTATAAATAATTAAGGGTAGTCATACATGTTCCCGTGTTCAACTATCTGTAATAACTTCATGTTGCCTGGGAGTAAACTCCACACTTGACTCACTCTGATAGCCATAGCACTTGTTCCCATTCTTCTCTCCACTTTTAAAAGAATCTTAAAATTTAGCCGAACTGTAGTGCCCCCATTTTTTGAACCTGCCTTGTTTTTCCCACTTAGTTCTCATTTGCTCGTTGTTGTTCTCTCCCCCAAAGCTAATCCATCATCTGTTTGTGCCTGTCAAACTCCTGCTCGGGTAGCAAAGTCTCCTTCATTCATCACTTCCTTGAAGGGAACCTTTCTTGATTATATTACCATGTGGAATTCTCCCCTCTGTAAACATCTTTATACTTGGGGTACTTGAATGGCACTGTTACTTTTGCAAGCTTTTTGAGATCGTTAATCAGCTTTCATACACCATTCCCATACAGTATTTCTCACTGTGCGTTAGACATAGTAAGACCATTTGTATAGTGTTTTAGCCTTTGCAAATCACTTTTCACATTGTTTCATTAAAGCTCTCCAAATTCTTAGTTATAAGGATTTGGTTGTTATTATAAATCCCCGTTTTACAGATAAGGAAACAAACTCAGGATGGGTAAATATCATATAGGTATTTAGGGACAGGATTGGAACTCTAATTTGGGGTTTCAGAGTCTAGACCCTGCTTCTTTTTTGTGTGTTTTATCATCCCCAGTATCTGTTCTTACACAAGTGGATGGATGCATGAAGACGTGTGAATTTTAATCTCAGAATACATAACTGAAACACATGAACTGAAGATCTCCTATTTATTACCCTGCTGTGTACTTCACATACTTTAAACTTAGAGGATAGTTTAGGCCTTGTGTTTCCTTTATATGAGTAATGAATTATGTTTTTTTGTCCCCTCTTCATTTAGATGAACTGAAGCACATTATTGGGGCTGAAACAACACGGAAAGGTATTCTTCGTGTTTTTGAAATGTTTCAGCACAACCAGTTAAATAGGAGAATGGTTTATGTCTTCTTGGAAGGCTTTTTGGAAACCTTATTTCCCCAGTATAAATTTCGTGAACTTTTCAACAAACTGCATTCACGATCAAAGCAGATACAGAAATATAAACAGAAACTTCAAACTACTCAAGCGCCTTCTTTACAGAAGAGGTGACACTCCAATCTCTGAAGCTGGTGTTCATTTTGTCCAGGACTAATAATATGGACAGATCTTCTGGGGCTTAACTCATATACTGTCATGTCGCACCAGTCTTTTAGTGTCTCAAAATAGATTATTAATACATCCATAAGACTGTGGTTCTTCTCATCCTCATCCATAATCCAGCCACTACCAAGAGAGATTTCTGTGTCTTAAATGATTTGGTGCATATTTTTGCAACATTGAGAGGATACTGCCCCCTTCTCAAGCAAGAATGACATTGGTCTCTTCCATTTCAAACTAATCAGCATTCTCCAGCAATGACAAAGTGCCAGAATGTATACGTGAGAGCTGAGGAAAGCACAAAACAATGGTTCACAGATAAACTGGCTAATTTGTTTAACCGTGGGCGACTGAGCAATGTATGATTTGGAGGGATTTGTTTTTGCATAATAATTTTATAGATCTTTATCAGAATTTTGATATAATGTGGATTAGCCAGGTGAATGATCTTTGGAACATCTGCTTCAGGTCTGGGGAAAGTGACAGGATGCCCTTAAAGTATGAAGTAACCTTATACCCTAATTACAGTTTTGTGACATAAAATAAAACCAATCAAAAACAGAATTTGATTGGATTTGTTATTATTGGTATAAAACAAATTTTAATTGATTCTTACGTGCTTTGGGGCTCTGTTTTGCTCTTATGGTACTCAATCATAAGTTTTCTTTTGGTATTCTGTGTGCAAAAAGAAGCATATAGTGGCACTCTCAGTTAAGTTTCAAAATCATTACAGTTTTCTTTAAGAGATTACTGATTACACAATAGGGAGTATAATCTCGAAAGAACTGCCAAATACATTCTGTTATTTTAAAAACATGGAAATTAAAAAAAGAACAGCACCATTGAAAGTTACAATGTGATCATTTTAAATTGTGTGATCTAGACATACCTTAGGTGATTGCAAAAGTAGCAAATCAAAGGATTAAATGAGCTTTTAGTCACATGTAAACAGACAAATTCCTAATTCTATTACTGTGTATATATATATGAAAATCAATAATGAAAACAACTATAATATTTTTTAAAATATGCTTTTATTTATATTTTGCATAATGTAAAATTCTACTAAATAAAGCAAGTTGGCAAAACCCCTGGGTGTATACATTTAAGTCCCTGAAATAATTTTATACCAACAACAACAAATTACCTTTTCCAGTTCTGGGGCCTCTGCATTTCTTATAGTTTTCTCATTCTCCGTTTGTCCATCTTAGAAGTCTTCATATCCCTTGTATGCAGGATTTCTGCATAGTTTTAAATACTTACACTGACTAAGGGTTTGGGTATGTCAGCATTTTTTGTTTTAAAAATATTTAACACTACAACCTTAAAATAGTGAAGCTACTTATCAGACCACTGAGCCAAGATCCTGGTATTAGAAGAACGTCTGGGTGCTTAAGATAAAGGGACAAAGTTTTGGTATCCCAGTTATTTGGGAGCTTTAAGATGGAAACAAGATGTTATTGTCTTGTTTTCGCCGAGATCCTACTTACAAAGTGAAGCCTAATAACAGATTAAAGCCTTCCTTTAAAGCTTTATAATAATAATAATCATATTTATTAATAATGCTGTTGTGCATACTTACAGTATGCATATATTCAGCATGTATTGCATGTCTAAAGAATTACATAAATGAAATCCCTTTCGTTGCAACTTGCAAATGAGAAAAGATCCTTATTGACTCTGGCAGAAGAAATAATACTTTTTCTTCCCAGTGTGTCTCCCTGCCGTGGTCCCCCCTGCCCCCCATTCCCCAGGCTTTAAAGGTGAGGATTTGTGAAACATGTCTGTAGGAAGCATCAGCATGGCCATAAGTGCAATGATTCTCAAATATACCCTTGCCCATTTCAAGTATATTTTTGACATAAATAAGTCTTAAGAGTAAACAAGAATTCATTTAAGAGCCTAGTGTGTACATATGAAAAGCATTTCCAGATAATGTGAGGAATGCTGGCCATCAACCAGGGAAAGAAAGAAAGGTCCTGCAAAATTGCAACTTTTCATAACAGAGCCCTGCAAGGTAACTGCAATCATACCAAAAACTGTATGAGTAAATGGGTTTTTTAAGTAATTTTTGTTTCAAGAGTTTATATTTCAAAAGCAGAAATGTCAAATGGTAGTCTAAACGGTTGTGCGTCTTCTCTATGCACATCTATGTTTTACATCAGAGAGAGCCGTGGTCATGCTAAAATTAGAGATACTTTCGGAATGACTTGGTCAAGCTGTATGTAAAATATTTAATTCATAAGTCAAGTACAGTGTACTATGTTTAATAAAGTTATTACATTTAATGCATTTATTGCATATTTATAAATATATACCTGAAGAGGCTTTAAGTCTTCTGATATTTGATTTTTTGAATGTGTTTTTAAGTCAGTGGTGCCTTTAGGCAAGAACCTTCAAAATTAATCGTCCTTTTTTGGGCTTTCTGATTTTTTCAGGTAACAAACTATTTAGAAACCATCACTACTAACTAATAGTTGATTCACCTAAAAATTGATTGTATGATTTAAATATGGCGCTTAGCTGGGCATTTCCTCTGATTAGGGTGTTCTGAATAGTTGCTGAAAAAATTGTGCCATTGACCAATGGATACACTTGGTTAGCCTTAATTTTTTTTTTTTAATTAAAAACTTTCTTGAGTATTTCTGTTGGCTCATTTTAAGTTTGTGCTGCTGGTGTTTGGAAAAAAATCAAACAGTTAAGTGCTACCAGAAAGTGTATCAATTTTTAAAAAATTAAGAACAATATAAATTTCACAATCTAAAATTTTAATTTTGTGCAATATTTTCATTTAATGCATGTGTATTTGAGTAATTGTAAAATAAATGAATTTTTAATGTTTTGAGATCTAGTTTAAACTGTCTTCTTAACCCAACAACTTACATTCCGTTGTTGCTGCATCCTTTTATTTAAGGACTTGTTTTAAAAGTCTTTTTTGTCACTCCTTGTAAAATTCTTTTGTTATTAGTAAATTTTGCTTATAGGAGCATGGCTCCTGTATTACAAGGGAAAAATATAAAGAGCACATCTTAGGATTATAGTTGTTAAAAGATAACTTGTGCATATCATTGTACAGTAAATGTCAACTGTGTGCCTAACTATTCTATCAATACTTTCCTTCTTTAACAAAGAAGAAACAACAATCAGAATGTCAGTTATTTTTATTGAACTAAAAAAGAAGATTAAAATTTTTATTTGGTTTGCGTTATGTTCTGTCCATTAGAAAATACTAATAAAATATTAACAAACCTTTTTGTTGAATTTATTTAGTAGTGATGTATTCTTATTACTTTAAAAAGTGCTTGCTCAATGGTCTTATTTTTAGTATCTGTGTATATTTTCCTTTTTATTTTAGAAATGAAGCAATTTCAGTTCCATATTGATAGAAGAGCTGTTGAGTGATTACTGATAACTTACTGAATTTAATTTTTCCATTTATGGGGCAAGTAATTTACAACCACAGTGTTCTAGAAACTTCATACTTACCTATCATACAAAATTATAAAGTCATTTTTCCATAGAAAGAGCTGTAATAAGTAGTCCATTAACAGTTTTTATTTGGTCTTATTTTTAATTCATAGCCTGCCTAATATTTTAGATGTTTCAGTTCTAAAGGCAACAGATTCAGTACTCACAATGTGGCTCTGTCTGGTTGGTCATAATATTTTCAGTCTTTATCTGTATCCATAGACTTCTCAGACATCAGCTGTGTGAGTACTTTTACTCTGCTCTGGACAGGCATAGTATTTGTCAGAGTGCATCCTGTAAAATATTGGTCTCTTTAAGATGTTTCTGGGCAGTAATTTTATACTTCTCTGTAACTTATGCAAATCTACGTACTCTTCCAAACCCTAAAATGTTCCTTTACAATCCAGATGAAAACTATCAAAGTTTCTGAAAAGTTCTGGAATAAATAAGCCTATTTAATTTTGTTTACCTAACTTCCCAAACCACAGAATTTTTTTGTCATCAACACCTATTAATAGCTTGATGATAATGTTCCCGAGGAACATGATTTGAAAAACCTTAGATGGGGTGAAAAAAAGGTGAAGCATCTTTAGTTAGGGCATAAACTCTAGATAGAATATAAACCAATGGATTTGGGATATGAAGTTTTATTTTCAGCCTTTCATTCCAATGGAAAGGAGTCTTTGAAAGAAAAAGAACATGAGAAATTAACAGATGGTTATATATCAGATATGAGAGTTGAATTTGGACCTGAGTACCAGAATAATGAACTCAGTAAGGGATAATATAGTATGTCCCATGAGGAGTGGGAAAGATTCTTGCCAAGGGTCTTGCTAGTGTGGTCAAGAGGATATTAACTAAGTGCAGAGGGGAGAGAGAAATGTGATACAGTTCAGTTTTTAAAATGTGTGCCAGACAATTGACCCATATATACTGGCGGATATTGTTTGGCCTAGGAAAAATTGCAGCAGCTGAGAACCTAGTACTTCACAAGAAAAAAATTTAATAGAATGAAAATTAATCCACTCATGTTTATTACAGTGTATGAGAAATGGATGAAATGTGATATTTTAAGTGGGTAAACATCTTTTACATAGCATCAGGTGGAATAAAATAGAGGATTTTTGTATTGGAAGTCCCCAGGACCACCCCCTGGTAACTCACTAGGAGAGCTGACAGACTCAGAGCCTATAGTCCTCACAGCTAAGATTTATTACAGCAAAAAGATAAAGAACAAGATCAAAAGGAGAGGGCTCATGGGGCAAAGTCTGAGGGAAACCTCATGAGCTTCGAAGTTATTCTCCCAGTGGAGACTTGCAGGAGACACATAATTCTGCCCCACGTGAACTGTTGGTAACCAGAGGAGCTGATTCAAGACTGATTTTTATTGGGGGTTGGGGGAGGTCCTGTAGGCACTCTGCCTGGTATGTACCGAAATTCTGGACTCTCCAAAGGAAAGCACGTGTTCTGCATAAGCCATGCATTTTGTACAATTTAGTTTGGGGAATGGTAGGAATGCTTCCGAAATCAAGTTCTCAGATACCTGAGAACAAGGGCTAACCTTGTAAGGAGGCCTTTCAAAGGACAGCAGTTCTACCTGCTGTGTTTGTTCTTTTTGTTCAACTATATACCTTGATCCCAAGAAATGGCTAATAGTAATAAAGATTTGCACTGAAAGTAATATTTATCCTCATGTAGAAGCCTCTATACCTAGAGTTGGAAATAGAATTTAGACGTAGATAAAAGGGAAAAAAGATTAAGTGATGTTGATATGTATATATACTGCAATCTAAGAAGCCAGAGGAACAGATTTGTGTATTTCCAATAAAGATTCCCATAACAGTTACTTAGTACTTAATATTCCAAACAACGTTTTGAGGTATAGATACTGTTCTGCAGTTGATAAATGGGAGAACTCAGGCATATAGTGGTTGAGTCATTTATCCAAACTTTCACAGTGGGTAAGTGCTCAGGATGAAATCTCAGCTGTGGTGGTCTGATTCTAGTCTGTGCCATAGTTCCTCAGGAGTGCTATTGACATTTTAGCCTGCATCATATGTTCTGGGAGCTGTCCTGTATGATGGGATGTTTAGCAGCATCCTTGAACTCTACCCACTAGATAATTTCCATAGCACTACCCTTCACCCCCAGTTATAACCAAGAATGTCACGAGACACTACCACATGATATCTGGGGCAAAATTGCCACCAGTTGAGAACCCCTTATCTATGCTCATTCACAAAGACAAACAAACACATGACAAATCTGTGGCTTGCCTTGTAGGGAGAATGTAAAGGGGATGCCTAACTACCTTAAAAGGAGGGGAAAGGTGGGGTGAGGGGGGCAGCAAAACCAAATATTTAACCTTGTCTTTAAGGAAGCATCCCCGTAGTTGACGGGAGGGAGGGGGAAGAAAGGGATTTTGCAACCCGAGAGAGAAAACGGGGTTTTTCTTAAAGATGTGAGATGAATGTATGAGAAAATTGCCACGATCAGGCTGTTAACTTGCTAACACTGGTATCGTGGGATCTTTTTCTTTCAAGTAACTGTTGTCCCTTTTATGTTGTGAGCCAGTCCTTCTAGAGCCTGAACATTCCCTTGCAGTCTTTGCAAGTAAATGCCTTCCCCGAATGCTCTTGTTTCTTTTTTCCTTTTGACAGGTGAGAACCCCACTGGGATGCCCAGGTGACTCACCTAATGCACTAACTTTGCCGTCAGGGATGAACCTCATTCCACAATTAGAGCTTCTACCCCTGCTGACTGTTTTCTCTTTCTTTCCCTCTGGTTCTTCTTCTGGGTCTTGGTCAAGTCAGGTTCTGGTTTTGAGTAAGTGCACAGCTGCTTCATTTCTCCATTGATAGAAGCAATGTTGGGAAGCTGGTTTTTGCTTTCTGATCTGATTATCATGCAGTCATTTGTCTTTTTTGTTTGTCTACCTGTCTTGGGGATTCTTAATATCTTACTGGCATTTCAGACATAGGTTTAGTCAGGCCAATAGCTGGTCCCACCTGTGGGATTAAGATGTTCACGTTCCAGCCCACAGGTGTTCCTTCTGGTAGTAGAATCCTCCATGTTGTTTGTCTTACTCATACAGTACTATAAGCTAAAGAAAATTCAAGAAAAAAGTTTTCATGCCTGTTGGAAAGAAAGCAGCTTCCCGCAGTCATTCTTGTCTTTGAACTCCCTCCTTACAACGCTGTTACAATGAATTGGTAAGTTTTGTTCCTTATTTTTGATTCAGATTGCAGTTGTAAAAGTGAGCCTGCTAGTTGTGTGTTTGTGCGTGTAAATGGAAAAGAAAATTGTCTGTGATACTGTACTTGTGGCTGGCATTCACCCACTTTATTGCCTCAACTTCTGGAATTAATTGGGCATAAAAATTGATCATTTATAAGCACTATTGGGATATCTAATATAAAAATACAGATTAACCATCAAATAGAGAATGCATAAAAAGATTTAAAAAAATTAAAATTGGTATCATTTGGTTTTATGGTAAGAGTTGAGAATTAAAAATTTTCCATGTTTTTTATAACAGTATGCTAGAACGGGACTGCAGATTAAAAGATTACTTTTGGCTTTTCAGGAGCTTCATTACTTCTTATGCAACCTGAAGAAAGTTGAGTAGCTTGATTTTTTCTTCTTATTTCTTTAAGAACAAACAAAAAAACCCACAATGAACCAGATGAAGATTTGAAAAAAAACCCTTGTGTCAAAAACTAAATACACATATGCACTGAAATAGGAAGAAATCTAGCACTAAACTCCTCCAGGGCTTTCTAGATTGCTCAAGAGTTGGATAAAATTCTTTTATTGCATGAGTATGAAATATTTTCCAAATGTGTTTGCTGGTAGACTTGTATACCTTTGCTTATCTCCATAATTGATAAATTAGATTATAAAGTCTTAAATTTAATGAAGCTCCTATTCTGATTGCATAAACAGACTAAGTAGGACTTAATGTAAATTTAAAATAAAAGAACCAAGTAAGTTTCAGAGTCAAAGTAAAAAAAAAAAAAGTCCAGTGGTTAAGTTTGCTAGTTCTTTAAGGAAACTCAAATACTTGCTGAAGGAGTTGGGGTAGAAGTTAGTCATTCTTTAATGGCCTAGATTCCTGGGATGCAAGATCAGAAACAAAAACATGCATAAGTTATCAAATAAAAGAACAGTGTGCTAATACCTTGTTTTAATAATTAGGTATATAAATGTAGAAAAAGTCAAAATGTTACTAAAGCAAATACTTGGATAAATTAGACAGTTTTAATAATTTTCGTTTAAAACAACTACATGTCTTTGCCTTAGTATGAAAAGTAATATTACTCTAAAGTTTCTAATTTTTATAAAACTTGGATATGTTTTCCTATGGAAAGCCTTATTTGATTGTCATGCATTTCCCACACTGATTTGATGGATCAAGTAAGTTATCTTTGTCTCCACAGAACATTTAATTAAGATTATGAAAATGTGAAAGTTGTGTTTGACTAATTTCGTAGTTTTCAAATGGGGATGCATTTACTTTTCATGGAACATATGGTAATATCTGGACGTTTTTGATTGTTGGGACCAGAGAAGTTGCTTAATGAATAGAGGACAGGAATATAGCTCAACATCCTATAGCATCTTAATGAGCAGAGGACAGGAATGTAGCTCAACATCCTATAGCACCCTACAACAAAGAACTTTCAGGTCCAAAACATCAATAGTACTGAGGATTGCCAAACCCAGAACTGAATAAAATTATTATGGCTTTATAAAAAGGATTTATTCTTCTGGTGCTTCAG